TGTGTGTTGTTAGAAATTAAAGAAAAAAACTTAACTTCAAAAACTGTCTGTTTTGCCTCTTTTCCGAATCGCAGCCAATTTTACCTTTGAAACGTTGCCTGAATCGAAACGGCTTCCGGTCAAATGTGGCGATTCTCGAATATTACCCGAAAGCAAACTTCAAAGGCCTTTGAAAGCTTTGAGTGCAATGCACGGAATAATTAGTTGTACGCTTTAAAAATGAGAAACAAGTCTTATGGTGAATATTATAATACTAATTCTACTGATATTATAAATGCGGATGTTTGGACGGATGGATGTTTGTTTGAAAGTGTGTCTGGAACGGCTGCATGGATCTTGCTGAAATTGACATAGATGTAGGACATAGTGTGGAAGAGCACATAGACTACATATTAAGCTTGTTTTTAATTCCGCGCAGGCGGAGTCGCGGGTGGCAGCTACTAACAAATAAATCTGTCATGGTCTTTTACGATTTTGAGCAAAACTTTATTTTCTATTCGCAACTTAATTTGAGATTCCAGCTAAAATATTTTGTAACTTGACGTACTCAATATGATGAATCTAACAAAGAAAGTTATCAAAGTTGCATAAGATTTTATGTATAAATCCGTATAAAAAATGAATGGATATTCAAAAAATAATAGGTTTTTATTTATATATAATATACATAACAGTAAATTATCGGTTTAAGTTACTACGATCAAATAAGCATTAATTGGGCTATTGTATATTCTGTAATTACACGCGTGTAGTGGTTTATATCAAGCCACTATTAAATCATGTCGTTTAATATAACGTTTCCAATTAATTAACAGTTTCAACGAATTACTGATTTTTGATTATAACATCATTTATCGTAAAATTAAATACAATATTTAATTATTGGAAATTATTTATTTTACAACGCCAATTGATTAAATACTACAATAATTTGCGTATATCCATTTTATTTATTTTACCTCTTTTTTCATAGAGTTAGTAGATTATTAGTAGAGCGACGCAAACATATCACTTGCATGAACCATGTTTTTTTATTACGTACAGACACTCCAATTTTATTAATATTTATAGATTTTAGTACAATGTTAATAAAATTTTACATGTAACATTTTACCATCATGAAAATACATTTTCAGTGCACTCCACAAAGGATTAACTTTTTAAAATATGTTTCATTGTTAACGTAAATCGACGATAGAAAGCCGGATAGAGCACTCTACCTCTAAAGCCAGCAGTACACGTCCCAAAAAGCAAAATGCAATCGTCACATAACTATAAAATATAATGTAGGCTTCGAACTTGCACCATATTTCGTTTTCACTTTGAACCTGTATCCTTATTTTTTTATTTATAGTGTTTAAGTATTCATGATTATTGTTGGTGTATTCTTTGAAGTTATTTTATATCGTATTTAATATTCCCCCCAAGTAGGATAGGCTTCAGGCAGGCGGTCCGCCGAAAATAAATAAGCCTAAACCTTAAGATTTATAAAAACCCTATGTGTCGACCCCACATGAGTGGGATAAGGCCAGGAAGGTGAGAATGTATGCTAAACGTTTCTCCTGAACAAACTAAACCCATACTATCAAAATCGCTTCGCTTCTGTTTACGATCGCTTTCATCGTTGTGTGCAACAGACGTAGTAGTTGCGATACACCGCTCTACGTTTCAAGTGCCGTTCAAACAGCTTTTCCCAGGAATGTTTGCCCGCTTTGGAATCAACCGAGAAATATCTTTTGGCATTTCTCATAGGCTCTATTCATACATTTTATTATATTTCGTATTTCACAATTCCAATAAATCAGATGATAATTACTCCGCTAATATTGTATTTCAATTAATAAGTTTATAAACGTTGCTTGTTTTTAAAAGATATAAAAATGTCGGCTTATGTTACACCCGCATACTGCCATCTCGTAAAAGTTTCGTTAAAATTTCGGTCCAGCCTGTTCGATGATTACCCGGAACAAAGGCAGATTAATTAATTAACAGACAGAAGTTTATTAAAAATTAAAAATTGAGTTTTTCGTTAAGAGCATTGAAAATACATCATGTTCAAAGAATATGATAATTTTTTTTAATATTACACATGGAAACTCCAATTGTATTAATTGTATGTATAGATAGATATAGAAAAGAAGTTTATTACAAATATAATACCTCTTTAATAACTCCTAATAGTACTTTATCTCGTAGTTCACGCAACTAAGTTTCCCAATCATTATGGTCAAGTGAACTTTTATCGCTGCCCTCAAAAGTTTCTCGTATAAATTACACGGCTTTGATGAAATTCCTTCATACTCAAGTTATACGCAATTTATATTTAGACAATTATGAAAAATAAAGATAGTTAGTAGATATTTTATGCGACCTAGATATTGGATTTTTATTTTATTACGACCTAGACATTTTATTTTTTATTTAATTGAATTTTCAATCAATAAATGTACTAGAAACGGCTACAGAAAAGTAATGTTATACTCTGGATCGATGTGATTTGCGGATATTCATATAATATTTCTCACACAAATAATACAATTAACTCAAAAACAAATAGTAAATGTAATCGACAAGTATATTGGGGTTGATCTACGAAGGAACCTTCTATAAATTTTGCCATTTGTCCGTTGCAGTATAATTTTTTTACTGGTCCTTGACAATTCGTTTTTCAACCTGTCCGTTGCTAATTGTTTTTCCAACTCTGCGTTGCCATTCGGTTTTACACTTTTTCGTTGCGAATCGTTTGGTTATTTTTACAAAATTGTATCCTGATGTAAAATATTCCATGTTTTAATTCTTACTTAAGTGTTATATACATTTATTATTAGATTCCGAAGGACATTTATTGCTCTGCCAAAATATGGTCAAAAAAATTTAGAACTGTTATAGAATCTAAAAACAATAATAATCACGACCTCTTTGTTAAACCACGTCACAAAGAAACGGAAGGAGTCGAGTCCCAACTGTCCTCGTGCGTCTGCTTTTAACGAGTCGTCAGACTCATGCATTGCAAATTTCTTATACGTAGCAGCGAACTTTGCCTGTTCTTAGATGGATTTTACCGTTTTGCGATCTGTCCGTCCTTGTTATAATATAAATTGGCCATGAGAGCAAGTCGGCAACTGTCATTTTTACATGTGGATACAAATAAAAATTAATAATAATAATACATATATAAATGAAATAAATCACTTCTTATGATTAAAACGAGGCCTGAACTTTTTGAAATTTTTATCACAGAGTCGTTTTAATTGAATTAGTCAAAAATTGACGTGATAAAACAATGCGACACACGATCGCTTAACTGACTTTTCCACGAGTTAAAATTTCATCGGTTAGTTTTGGTATATCAAAAGTTCTACGAATTTAGATCACGCTACGAGCTACGAAATAAACGGAATTTTTGCACGGTTACTTCAATAAGCCTGTATTCGTTTTGTTTACTCTATTTTTTGACCGTTGTAACACTTACCGATGGTTTCTGAGACCAATATATCTGTATAAACATCATCGTAACGTCATCCCTGTCATTATCTTTGACAAAGCAGAGATAGCAGTATATTTACACGGGGATTTTGAACTTGATCGGCAAGTAACAAATATGTTAATCAAACGTATCCCTCGGAAACCGTGCATATTTCCGGGATATAAGGTAGCCTATGTATTCTTCTAGATTGCATTCTAAATTTATACCAAATTTCATCCGTTCCGTCTTTCTGAAGGTACTTGATAACAAATATCCATTCATCCATCCCTCTGACTAGTTGCATTTATAATATTTATCAAGATTTGAATTGCGATTACTCTCCAGTATCGCAAACATTGTAAATAAGTTTTTAGTCCGGAATCGCTTGACCCAAAAATGAAGGTCTCTTTTCATGAATTTAAAACTAAATAGACCGTAACGATGAGTCTATTTTGAATTCGACGGCCTGGTTTTTTGCGTTCGATTGCAATTGCTTCATTGCTGACATCTCAGTATTCGTGAGACAAAGCTAGTAGAGTAGCTGTTTGTCTTGCCTTGATTGCTTTTTCCATCGAAAAGTGGGAAGACCCGTTAACATGCTTCCCATCAGGGAAGGCTACGATGATATATAACACTCCGCGTGGTATTGAAAAAAAAACCTTGATTAGTAGCCTATGTGTTCTTCCAGACTATTCGTTATACATTTGTGCCAAATTCCACCGAGGTCCATTGAGCCGTTCCGGAGATACCTTTTCACAAACATCCATACATCTAAACTTTCGCATTTATAATATTACTATTCTTCTTATCAAAAGTTTTGAAAAAACTTTATGGGTGTCTTCGTAAAGAAAACAGTAGACGCTCTCGGACGTTGTTTAAGTGAATTCGTAGCACAACGAATAGAGGAACTGAAGTATATGTAGTCTGTATCATTTTAATCGAAAAACACACACCACCAGACACATACTGGCAAATTATACTGTAAACAGTAGCAAAAAGAGCATATTGGCCTGACCTATTTCGTTATTTAAGAAAATGAATCATTTTTCAAATTAAAACAAAGAGAATTTAATCGTTCCATTTATTTCTTAATTGGTTCTGAGTTGGAGCACTTCTTTTATTCCAGACACTTAATAAGAGTTTGTGCTTCGAGTACAATGGAGTATCAACTATGGTCTGTGAAAGAAAATACACAAGGATTTAGTTTGTGATGCGGTCTAGGAAGTTAATTTATTAGAAAATAATTACTGCAATAAAGTGTTTGTAGGAAAAGAGTATTTGTACAAATAAATAGTACGTTGAGTTATAATAGAAATATTTAGTTTGTGTTTTCTAAGAAAATTAAAAAAAAAATACGAGGAATATTTAGGCCGAGGTTTACTTAAAATTTTATACTTTCACAATACTATAGTTGTATTTTACCGAACTGTTTATGTTTCGAATCTAAAATATTTTATATATTCTTTGTAAATGAGTATTTTATGTCAATAAAGTTATTTGTCGTCGTTAGTAAATCATTTTTCTGTTGTTTCAGAATGCCCTCCAGAGACATGTGTTGAAGAAACTCAAACAGATCCACCAGCACCTCTTACAAGTAATGCATTTTACATTTTATTACTTCACTAGCTTTTGCTCGCGACTCTGTCAGCGCAGAATTACAAAAAAAAATTGCAGCTTATGTGTTCCTACAGATTTTGTTCTACATCTATTCTAAATTTCACCAACATCCTTATAGTCGTTCCGAAGATATCTTCTAACAAACTTCAATCCATCCAAACATTCTCATTTATAATATTAGTAAGATTTAATATAGTTAATAGCAATGTTACCAGTTTATCTATAAATGTCAGTAAATCTACACTAAAGGTTACCGTAAGCTCTTAGTATGGCAGGTAATTTAAAAACGAAATTTAGAAGATAAAACTTATTTGATTTTAAATCAGGCGAAGAAAGTGATGCCCCCGATAGTGAGGGTAAACTGTCAACCGAAAGCTCACCGCTACGCCGCCGTCGAGGAGGCATTCTCAAGGGGGGACGGCTGTGGAAATCCCTTGACGCTGATAAGGACTTCAACGAACAAGTAAATATTTTAAAATACTAAAACAAAAGTTCACCTTGTTAGTTCTCCTCGAGTCGAGTTTGCGGTTACTGCGATCGGCGGATTAGATTTTCATTTTACGTCGAGTGTCGAGAATCGAGTTTACCTAACGAAAAAATTGTAGAATGAAAATATTTATTTTTCACTTTTTCTTCTACATAATAAACAAGGATTTTATTTTAACAGAACGACGATCAGAGATCAACAACAACTGCCAGCGATGAAGACGGCTCAGTCACGCCCAGGTCTGTCCGCTTCGTGGAAAGACCTCAGGAGTCCAATGAGGAAGAGCCGATTCCACAGACGGAGCCAGAGTCAGTTCAAGAGTCAGACGACGAGACACCCATCCAGAAAGAAACCACCCCTACCCCTACACATAGGTAATTCTTAAGAAATTATGCAGTCCGTCCCACTATAGACCGACAAAATGAGTTGACCCACTGAGGAAGTGATGTGGCTCAATAGTACCAATATCAAAAAAATGTCACCACAGTGTCTGGTCATGTGGTTTTGTGTCATTTTATCTGCCCAAGTAGGTTTTATAATAGGTGAAATTTTTCTTGTTATAGATTGGAAACACCATTGATCCTTACAATTCAGACACCGAAGACAAACTCAGCTGTCCAACAATTGTTCAACAGTAACAGGCCGCCGCCGCCCGCCATTGAACCTCAACTTATAACTTCTGAAACATTGAGGTAATCAGAAAACTTCTATTTGTTTCTTTACTTACTAAATTTCAAAAATGGAATCACAACATATTACAAAAGACTATTTTCTTGCCCAAGATTTATAATTTTACTAGGACAGGTCTAAACTGCCTAATCGTTTGAAGAGTTCTGACAGTCTCGGCCACCAGCTAGCTTAGTCCACTCTTGGACTTTCACCTCTTGTAGGAGCCTTAGTTTTAACCTTGTGTTAGTTATAGTTTAAGGATTGTTGGATTCATTTTATCCAATAATTTGTATATCAATTGTCAGTTTCCTTTCAAGTTTATTAAAATCTTTAAAATAATTTCTGAAAATAGTCGAAGCGTAAATAACAGAGTGGAATTACAAAATCAATTCCGATATTTTTAATTAGCAAATATAAATTTAAAGGTAAAATCAAAACCTTTAAATTTGTAATAAGAGAATTTCTCGGAGCAATTAACGCTTGCTGTATTTAATGAAAAGCGATCCTACTTATCAAGTGTACTTGTTGTACTCAAATTACTTCTTCACTTCATTTAATAACACCGATTACTTCAGCTTGAACTATGAATAATCAATTTTACAGCTTTAAAGTCACAAAGAGCAATAAATATAAAATTCTCATTTAAATCTCTCATTTACATTCATAAACCATCAACATTATTTTCACTGTGCAATCTGCAGTTCCTGGGTTTGAATCCCGCCATGTACCAATGTGTTTTTCGATGTCCGATTTACATATGTACATTTATCCGACGTTCTTACGGTGAAGGAAAACATCGTGATGCAACCTGCACATATCTGAGAAGAAATTCAAAGATATGTGAGAAGTCAACCAACCAGCACTCGGCCAGCGTGGTTGACTATGGCCTAATCACTCTTAACTTAGGGTAGTCTCCGAGCCCCTCGGTGGGGACGTATAGTGACCTGATGATGATGACTGTGACAATCATAAACACTCATTCATTATCGTGCATACTATATGTATTTTGAAAACCGAAGATCTATACAAATATCTGGAGCTTTGTAAATGTATAGATATTGATGTAATTGACTACATAGTGGATAAGGATTCATGGTAAATGTTGACCGTATTGATTTCCTTTATGCAAACCAGGGCTTGGGACGCCGGTGTGCGACCGAAAGCAGAAGATGTGGCTGTACGACGCGTTGCAGAAAGAAACGCTCTTCGTTGTTCATTACTGCGCAGCGAGGCAAGGAAGAAACAACAAGCAAAGGTAAGTATGTAATCACTAGAAGCAATTAAAAGGAACATTTAAACAATCAACTTTCCAAATATATAAAAGCAGTAAAATCAATGAAATATAATTATTTCCTGTAAAAATCGCATAAAAATAGATAAAATTGAAAATCAAATAAATGTATCTTTGTTCACTTCTTTCTAATTCCCTTAATGTAAAACTTGCGGTGTGAAATAATGGGATGCAAATTGCATAACAATCTCTCCCTCGTCATCCAAGCGTAAGGTATGTTAAATTAGTTAGCAATGTAATTAGCAATTTCATTGCAACTGCGGCAGCGAGCGCGGCTTTGACATTTATCCGATTCAATTTATATCACAGCGCAGATTACGAGCGTGCGAATATCTCATCGAAACCTAACAATGATATTAATTGTCGAACTAACGTGAATATTCCATAATAGAAACAATTATTAACTAACGCATAATCGATGCTATGCGAAGCCGGTTAGCGGTTTATCAAGTTACCAAAACATTTTAGTATTTATTATATTTTGAATGTATATTCAATTTCATCGTTACTTTTTAAGATTTTTTGATATTGCTGAAATAGACCATTGACTTTTTTTATAAAAGAACAGCCTAGCCTACCAAAATTTCAACATAATCGGATGAATACTTAAGCAAAGAGTAGAGGACAAATTTATAAAATCCACGGAAAAAATTATACCGTGTACTGTACGGGTGGGAGAAAACAAGCGCATAAGTGTGCGCAGAACCCGTATTCCTGTATTTAACTACCAAATTTTTGCTCAATAAACAGATTGTAGGATAATATTCATCATCATCAGCTCACTATACGTCTCCACCGAGGGGTCGGAGCATATCCTAAGTTAAGGGTGATTAGGCCATAGTCAACCACGCTGGCCAAGTGCGGGTTGGTTGACTTCACACATATCTTTGAATTTCTTCTCAGATATGTGCAGGTTGCATCACGATGTTTTCCTTCACCGTAACAACGTCGGATAAATGTACATATGTAAATCGGAAATCGAAAAACACATTAGTACATGTCAGGATTCGAACCCAGGACCTGCAGATTGCAAGTCAAGTGCTTGACCACTGCGCCACCGACGCTAATTTAGGAGGAGGATAATATTATGATAGTTAATATTAAACTGTACACATTGCAAAGTATATGAAATTAATCAAGATGTTGTTGATTAAAGTTAATTTAAATTCTTTAGGGAACTGAAATATCTTAAGTATTAAGCACTTAAAATATATCACTTTTAATTAAATAAGAAACGATTAAAATAAGCACGCAAATGGAGTAATTGAAAAGCGCTTTTTACTATTTAATTAAGTTTGTACAATCTGGCGCAGTAGACAGTGGGAAAATAAATGAAGCTTATATTGACAGATTAATTAGGGTTAAAAATATATTGCGAATTGCAACAAGAACGTTTATTGTTCTGTTTTTTTATTTTAACAGACGGGTGTAATTTTAATTGAGTTTTATCGTATTAAATTATTAAAACTTTCGTGAGACATTATACTAAACTGATATAAAAACGGGTAAACACTCACGTATATTCGTCCGGAGGCGGCACCGACTAGTTTCTGACTGAGTGAGCGACGGGCCGCGTGCGCGAAATAATACCAGTACCACTCATCCTGATGAAGGGGCCCGATGGGCTCGACATTAGTCGGTGCCGCCATCGGACGAATATACGTGAGTGTTTAGCCGTTTTCATATCAGTTGAGTTTTATCGTAGTAATTATTCAAAGTTGTCTTATAAAAATCTGTTTACTAATTTATAACAATGAGTTACCAACTTACTAACGTTATCTTGTACTTAAGACAGGACTGATAAAAATCTGCAAAGATTTGAGATATACGCTAATGTACATACAAAAAAGCTTCTATATCAAACGAAAACATTTCACTTATGGAAAGTAATCTTTACAGCAAGAAACAACATCGCTGGCTGAACGTATACGTCTTCTCACTTGTGACGTAGAAGACGAGCCCGCCGAAGACCGCGCATCACCAGCCACCGTCAGTGTTGATAAATTATCTAACAGCAGCGACAAATCCAGCGACAAATCATTCACAATGGATAAGAACAGTGAGAAAGCATTTGGAAGCGCTTCCTCCAGCTCGTCATCTTCTACTTTGTCAGCACCAATGCTCGTACGACAGCACCCACCGGATCTGGGTGACGTTCATCAAGAACAACCAAAGGTAAGAGATTTCACATGAAATATTTTTACATTAAATCAAGAAAAAAAACTAATAGAGATCAAAATACATAACCTTATAAAAGCTTAGCCATTATACTGTAAGAAACTAACCTTTCCTTGATGAATTTCCCGACGATATGCGATCATATTTTTGTCAACTATTTTATAAGAAGCACGCAGAGCACAAAAAACCAATATAAAAATTGATGCACTTCAAACTTATGAACGATGTTAGCACGTAAATCGACAGAATAACTGAGCGTAAGTCGCAACCAGGGAAGAATTCAATAATAATGAAAATTCCTCGGTGCAAGCCATCAAAGCAATTCCAGACATTTAAACCACGACTATAACCTATTCAGTATTGCTCGGATATCGCAAGGGCGATAAAGAAAATACCGTAGACGAAAAATAACGTTGTATTTAACAAAGTCAACGCGTTGATAAATAAAGTGTAAATAATTCTGTTTATCTTCGTTATTTGGTAATTTTTATGACTTCTTTTTCCAATCTTTTGCTATCTCGTTCAAAGGACTTAATTACGAATTTGACTTTCAAATTATTCCTTTCATAGCTGACTGACGTCGACTCTCAATTGGATACTGATCAAAACAGACACTTGGGTTTATTTTTTACTTGATTATTCAACCATAAAACTTCCTAGCAACAATGTAATTTATTAAACAAATGCCACAACAGTAAAATAAATAATAGTACCACTAAAAATATGATTCTAAAAAATCCTTCGATTTAGAACAGACCCCTAAAAGTGTTGTGTTGCGGTTAGTCTCCCAAAAAAAAAAAAATTTAAAGCGCTGTCGAATCGCTCGAAGACGGCATCTTATTCCAGATGCACTTTAAATTTTTACATTGTCTTCTTAAAAAATTTAAAGTAGTTTTAGTAATCCGTTTTCTCGTTCTTTTCTCAAAATATCTCTTTTTCTTGATGGAAATTTAATTAAAAAGTTTTTGTTTTTTAAAACGTTGTGATGAATATTATTGTTGAAACTTATGTAAAATAATAATTTGATTCAAAAAAATAAATAAATTGTTCAGGTATTTTGATCTTTAAATACGACTTATGTAACTATATGGAAAATATTTTATTTAACTAAGATTTAATTTCCTATTAGACATCATAGCAATATTATTACAAATGTATAAAATAAACATCGTTTGAAATAGATTAGAGTTACGTGATTTAGAGATAGAATAATTCATGATAGAACAGTCCAATATTGAACTCGGCACATAGAATTTCAGCATCGCAGCTCAACAATTAGCACGCGCGCCGGCCGGACGCAACAAAGTAAACGTAGTTGTTTTAATCCAATCCTATTGGATTACGATACTACGACGATACTAGGTTCGGTACAGACCGCAAACCTTTGGATTAAATAGAAATTATTTGCAGAAGCTTATTTCTTCGTATCTGATACAATGGTAATAAACGACAATATTTAGTTACAGCCAAATATTTACATTTAATTAATATTCCTAAAACCCCAGACAAAGTAATATTTTAATGACACATATTTTTAGATTTTATACGATTAAATGAATTAACTTTAAACAATACCTTCAGATATTAAATCAAATTTTCACTGCCGGAACCGTTGTCCAAAAATTTATATATCTTCTTTTTTAAACAAATCGACAAAAATTGAGTTTATGAAATGTAAGTTCGAAGTTCTAAAAAATCGTAAGTGCAAAAATACGAAATTCTTAGAAATGTATTTGAGTTATGAAATAAAATTACTTTGGAGAATAAACACAAAGACCGCGTCTTAACACATAACTTGAACTTAACTAAAAGGATTAACAAGTCTGCGTCATTTCGGTATTTTATCAACTCCGACAAGATTTAGGCTGTGTATATTAACTTTTATAAGTAAACCTTCTTTATAAACGGAGAGTTTTAGGATTTTTCCTTTTCATTTTACGGGCTGATTGTTAACGTACTTTCCAAAACTTCAAACTGAAATTTTGTTGCTACTGCCATTTTCCCGTTGCGATTAGTTTTTCCACTTATCCGTTGCGATTTTTTTTTCCATTCGTCCGTTGAAGTTTCACTTCTATTATACGTCCAAGCAAATTTTTCCTTTTTTTAAATGTCGTCTTTTAAACTTAATTTTTTTAAACGTCAATTATTAAGTAAAAACAGCTAAGCCTATATTTTAAGCCACTATTAAGTCCAAAGTGGCGGACATAATATTCATTTATCCCATATAGTTAGACAAGATTTAATCTGTAGCCTATTGTGCGCTTACCGACGTGCATGTATGCGTAGAAGTATGAATGTAGAAGAAGCGAGAAAGGCATCAGGACCGCGCCAAATTGAGGTCCATGGTTTTTCCTTCCCCTTTGGAATACGTGTGTGGGTTTTGTTGTTGTAGCCTGTACTCAAATATAGAAAAGAAAATCCGTATCTTTATTAACACTACATTCAAACTATATTTGTTTATCATGTTCTTTTACCAAGCTTACATAGTGAACAGCATTATGACAACGGCGTAATACAGTTGCGTAATTTCGATCCGAGACTTAATTACTAGACTCATACAAATGTCCAGATCTTGCGTATTTATGACCCGCGATAACTTTTACGAGTACAAGATATAAATTGTTCTCGTCCTATCTTAATTCCATTACTTTACTTTCTATATGAAGCTTTGTGGAATCATCACAATTAAACCAAACAATTTTAAGAAATCTAGGTATTTTAAAAGTTTTAAGTCCATTTACATTGTTATCAAGTCTCTTTGTTGTATGTATATCTCTCCAAATCACAATCCTATATCTATCATAGTACGTACGAGTTATAATACTAAAACATTAAATCAACAGTATTTGTCAATATCCCACACCATTATTTCTCGTTAAGGGGATAATTTATCAGAACTGTCATAAAATTGTCAATTTACTAAGATATATAGCATCGAAAATTATTAACAGTTAGGCTAGATATCATTTTCAATGCTGTAAATTGCGATTTATTTAAAATTTAAATTGAAGATGATACATCGATGGTAAAACAATCACATCTTAAAAATTCAGATTTTTTGTCATTACGAAGTTTGAATAAAAAGGGTCTTGATAGACAGAAGGTGCGTAACCCTAAAAATGAGTGATAACCATGAAAGTTGCTTCTCGGGTTGTTACTGTGAAAGAGATATGTAAGGAAGAAATTGCAGAATATACTATTTTAAATGAAGAAATAAATAAATATTAAGTATAATTTCCATTGCAGTTGATATATCTATGCATATATGCATTTTATTGATGATATTTTAAAAAAAGAACAATATTTTACGAAAGCAGCAGAGAATTGGAGTATCAAAAACGAACGGTAAAGGTGTTTATTGACTGATTTACATTCTCCATACCCGCTGGCTATTCCGATGCATGTGATGGAGCAATTAATTTGTGACTGAAATTCGAAATACGCTCAGCAAAATACCGAACTCAATAAATGTAACGAAATCAAATTTCCAATACTTTTTTAAATATCCTTTATGGTGTTACCGTAGATTTCCATTGAAGTGGCATTTATATAAGTACAAATTTTCAACCTATTATTAAAAGTTTCACGGCAATTGAACCACGGTTACAAGATATTAACAAAGATATTCAAATTCGTATTTAGTAAGAGAGGTGACATAAAGCTACTTTCCACAGCAATATAGCCAATAATAATATTTAACACAAGTTACAGTAAAAAAGAGACTCATGAGATCAAAGTAAAATTTTGGACAAAGTTTTACGTTCAATGTTCCGTATGGTTTTTTTTTTCGAATGAGTTCCCATATAGGAGCGCTAACAAATCGAATACCACGGCAAAATACGTCGGAAAACGAGTTTCGTCGAAATTCTATTTCGGCAACGTATCGAGTGGATCTTTCTTGGTAAAAGTATCCAATGCATATCTGTCAGTAATCTACAACAGCTACTATTTTCTGTTCGACTGACCGATATTGAAATATTGATTTTATGCAAGAATTGTGAATTTTAAAAGCCCTTGTTTCTTTAGTTATAAAATCTGGCAGTATTTTGCCTAATTAAATAGCGTGCTCTAATTGAATAGACTTTGCTTTTTCGATTGCTTACATGTGATCGTCTCAGTTTAAGATTAGGGTGAATAGGTATTTACAAAACTAGAGAATACCATCTTTCGGCTACATCTTTACTTAACATCAGATGGGATCATGTTTGAGCGCAATTTTTATTAAAAAAAAATCCATAGAACCCTTTATAAAAATAATAAAAAGTCGCTGGTAGAGCGTTATTAAGTAAGTAGGTTTTGTGTATTTTAAATTTCTAGCTTAATAAACAAATATTTGTGATCCTGGAGATTAAAATTTTTTAAAAATTCAAGTGCACGATGTAGATGTAGAATGCAAATGAACGGATGCGGAGACACGTCTTGCACTCCATGAAGTGTTTCTTCCCCGAAACGTAAACAAACTCTCCGAAACATTCTGGTTACGTATAAAAGGGACTTTCCTAGTTAAGATAGAATCTCTTCTCAGTAGTTTGATACACTTTGATACTGTCAACAACTTCTTGCTACTTCTAAAATCTCTTTCGGAGTCCAGACTGATGTGCAAGTGTATATAACTAAGACCAATTATGACGCCACGATCGAGTGACAGTAGAATCGACAGCAACAACTGTCAATGAAAAATAAGCTAATCCATATGTACAGCCAAGACCGGAACCTCGACGTCAATTCCTGTCTACACTAGCGCCGCTAACAGCGTGTGTTGGGAGTGCCGCTCACCACGAGGGTTTCTACTACATGGCACCGGGAGACAGGAACTCGGCATCAGCTGCTACTAACATCGATTACAAAAATCATAATGATGCTCCAGCACCGGACGTAGTCGCTGGAACTCCTGGTAAGAGTAACTATACCCTTGAGATAGTAATCTCATATGAAACAAATTAGAGAATATTTTTTAAAAACCACCGTTTTTTTATTTCATGATGTTTATAACTCTGGATTTCTACTGCATTTTAGTATGAATTCATACAACATACTTCTTTACAGTTCACGAATATTTTACGAAACAAAAATCAATGTCGTAAACACATAAAAAATAAACATTAATCCTAAGATCATAAAGTAACTAAGAATGTCCTTCCATTTATCGTGTCGTAGCAGATACTTTCTCATTAGTATCGATTAAACATAAAAACAACGACCTTGCCTTACTAAATTGAGTCTGCAACATTTTCTGATAAACAACTAATGAAGTAAGACAAATAAAGTAGGCTTCTTCATATGAAAAAATTAATAAATAAAATATTTAATAAGTATAGAACATGAATGGTATTTGGTAAAGACCATCGCGTATTAGCCATTCAGCAATTTAGAAGTACCATTTCGTGCGGTTAATTCGTTTCATGAATTTGTATGAAGCTATCAACTCCGTGGCATCGCCTATTTTTATACAACTATTGGATGCATGTTGAATGTAGCAGTTTTACTAACAAACTATTTATCTATCTTGTTAATTCACTAGTTAACTTAAATGTGCCGCTATGTTCGTCTTATTTGTGATGTTCTTATCATTTATGTTCGGTATCATTTTAGTATGAAAAAATCGGTATAATAAAAATAAAAGAAAAACATCTCACTAAAATCAGTTAATAGGTTCACGATTTCTCGAAACTTTTAAAAATTATGAACAGCCAAAAAATTCTATCATAATTTTCCATCAAACTAAATTATTTTTTGTTTTTATAAAAATTCAAGTATAAAGTAAAATAATATGAAAACAATGATATAATTTTTCAACTTTTTTGTTTTGTGAATTATTCGAGGTCGTAAATGTAAATGAAAATGTTATTTAATTAAAATTACTTTTCAGAACAACGAGAAAATACTAAAAAAAAGTAGAACAAAGTCACGCAACCTTACAACGGCAACCGAAATTATGTTTTGAGACTGTTTTCAATGATAATATTTAAGTAAATGGGTTACAGTTTTTGCAAATTAAAATGCTTACAACTTTATAATAATCGTATGTTCAAAGTATATAAAGTCACAAAAGCCAATCGAATGGCAAAAGATATTCATGGTATTACTGTTGTGAACGTCCTTAAACTTAGCCTATATTTTTTTTAATTTCCTCTTATCTCTTAAAATGACTTAAGTATGACCTTTAAAAAAAATGAATAGAGTAGTAGACTAAGCTAAATATATACATTATGTTACGAAAGGCGCCAACGATGGCGATGATGGATTGGCTGCATTCGCCAGAGCAACCGCCCCGAGAACTGAGCGCATTCGGCAACGATATGGCCAGGATTCACATCCCGTCAGCAGTGATGATGAACATGATGACTACGGTAAGAAAACTGCTTTCCCACCATTTTAATGTTTTATTCATTCCAAATAAAAAAAAACATGTTTAAATCCATTTTAATTGCTTATTACGTTCCTACGTCAAAAACGAGTATAAGTATTGTATGCATGTATGTATGTATAATTAGGTTTCCACCGTCGACCTGCGGTCCGAGGCATCGCCGTGAAGCAACAGCTCGGAACATCAACTGATATGCTGCAGCAAATGCAGAATGAGCTGCAGCCAACATCAAGCACCGCTGTCACCCATCATCAACCACACGCGTGCCAACGCACCAGTTCCACGTACTCTTGGCCGTATTACTCTGAAGCTAATCTTAATTCAAGGCCGCAAAGCCGAACAAGCACTAATACTAATTGGTAAGTTATAATAATCTTACATATAAAATTCTCGTGTCACAATTTTCGTTCCCATACTCCTCAGAAACGGCTTGACCGATTCTCATGAAATTTTGTGAGCATATTGAGTAGGTCTGAGAATCGGCCAACATCTATTTTTATTCCCGCGCGGACGCCGTCGCGGGCGACAGCTAGTCTTATATATAAAATTCTCGTGTCACAATTTTCGTTCCCATACTCCTCAGAAACGGCTTGACCGATTCTCATGAAATTTTGTGAGCATATTGAGTAGGTCTGAGAATCGGCCAACATCTATTTTTAATCCCGCGCGGACGCCGTCGCGGGCGACAGCTAGTCTTATATATAAAATTCTCGTGTCACAATTTTCGTTCCCATACTCCTCCGAAACGGCTTGACCGATTCTCATAAAATTTTGTGAGCATATTGAGTAGGTCTGAGAATCGGCTACTCTGTATTTTTTTACCCCGTATCTATTATTTATAGTATCTCGCGCGGACGGAGTCACGGGCGAAAACTAGTTGCTTTATAATTTCAACAACTTTTTGGGAACTGTTTTTGTGTATTTGTAACAATAATTAACGCTAAGTTCCGTGATAACTTAGAGCTTCAAATTACATTCTTTGTATAACTTTTGTATAGTCATTAAAAGTTTGTTCAACATTAAATATTTAAACAAATACAAGAATATCCAATGAATGAACAATTACGAAACATCTAATCTAATTCGACGTTCAGTTTTAACTGCATAAAAGTTAGTACAAATAACTTAAACCCACGTTTATTTAATGTGTCAAGCTAATTTGCTCATGGAACAACTATTTCCGGAAAAGGGTAAACTAAGGGTAATTCTAAGTTAAACCTTCAATAAAATGTACATTTGCACTGACGGTATCAAACTTTAAATATAATTCATTGCTACGTTAATTTCCTTTTTGGATATCTTAAATATATTTAACTATTGCAAACATTCAGTGCTACCGACGCGCTTAGGTTTAGCAAAAGATGGAACAATATGAGAGTTAGTGGGTGGACCAAAATAAGACCTCTGACACGCACAATCATAGGACTAAATACGGAATTGCCCTTACCTTCACGTCTGCGTTCTGTGTGGTCGTAGTATTTCACCGGTAATCTGTTGTTATTAGGATGAAGCCAACAGATTACGTGTCTTCGCGTCAGTGCAGCAACACCGCGATGCCTCAGCAACAGCATTCGGAAATGTGTCATGCTCACGCCCAGAACATGCTGCCGCCCTATCCGCAGTACCAACAGCGACAACACGAAACTGTGTTCAGGAACTGTTCCCTTTACGCTAATATCGGGTAAGTATTAGATAACTAAGCGATTACCATTCAACTATTAGTGCAGTTTTAGTGCAGTTTTTGGGTGAATAACAACACTATTTTAGGTTTTGACGGAACGTTAATTAACCCCTGCGTGATCTTTTCTCTTGAAGACATGCAGCTAACCACGAGCTACCATAAAGTTTGGGTATATTATAATATGTACATTTATACCTTTTATTACCCTATTAACCGAAGTATTTATAGATAGCATTTGATAGCTATAAAGTTTGAAAGTAACGTCCAATTCGTAACAAACTATATTCGCAATAAATATAATATATAAAAACAATATACTGATTTCAATTACTTTTTGATAGAATTGATTCACACTGATTCTGGTAGTAACAGCTTTAAATTACAACTATTTCCTAAATAAAAAAGCAACATAACAAATCGTTCTGATGCCGAGACTCCTGCATCCATTGAAAATGGGAACGAGTGCGAGACTGCACATTGCGGCCCAGATAGTCAACCAGGCCTTTAGCGATTATTTCAAAAACACGTGGATCAGAAATAGCGAGAAACACAGATAAACAGCCGGATGCCGACCTAGACTCCGGCTTTGTTCGCACGGATGTACGGGAAACAACAAAGTCCCTTTTACACCACCGTTTATTGTCGTATCTGCACGTTCCATTTTTTTGAGGACGTTCATTATCGCACTTTGTTCTTGTGTGGATACATTTCAAACAATAACGGTTTAATCACTTTACAATGCATTCCATTTATATTGTGTTATTTTCTACTAATTTATGTAGATTCAATTTAACTTAACATTGATGGTTTTACCTGTTAATAATAACAAGTTTTCTCGTGAAGTTCTCGTGAAAACTAATAAGAAACAGTAAACATAAGTTTGCGAGATTAAATATATTTCCAATTATCCGACTTAAATAATACTTTTCTCAAACGCATATGTTATTGAAAACATGTTTAGGATTCCAAACATGCAACTTATATTATCCACTGATAAAACAATTCTACGCGTTTACTAAACATCTTGAACGTGTCTTACATTTCAAATATGTAAAACTACGTAGGTGTTCCGACAGCAGTCAGGAGTTGTATAGCTCGCAGACGAGCTCCGAGCAGACGTCGCCGGTGCGTGCGGCGTCACGCTGCCGACGACCGGAGTCCCCGCCGCCTATACGCAGCCACCACCAGCTGCTCTACGTGCCCTACAGCAGCCACCAACACTACCAACACGAATACCCAGCACATTGGCCGCCTAACGACTGTACGTTTAACATCAAATATCTTGATAAAACTGTTCTAAGATCCGATCGAAACATTGCATAATCACCATAATTAACGACGCATCGGCTTCAATTTTAAAGTGAGACGCAAATTATTCTGCAAATGGGAATTTGATTTCATTGATCTATAAACAAAAGTCGGTGTAGTCCGTAGTTATTTAAAGCCCGTCATACATGGACAACTTCCAAGCACGTAACAGTTTATATGTTGACCGTAAGTCTACTTGAAGTCGGCACTATCGGCATCGTAGGTGTTTATTATTACATTTAAATTCCAGATAACCGACAAATGCAATCGTACTACCAGCAACAAGCTCGCAGTGGCGCTAGCACGCCGCAGCCTAATGTCGCCCTCCAGCAACGGGCACATTACAGCCACGCTCTACAATTGCAGGTGAGGCGTGAATCAAATGCAACGAAACTAAACGGCAGAGAGGTGCGAATGAAATATTGTTTAGTCCTTACAGTAGATAATCTGTCTAGACTTTAGTTTTGTTTTAGAATATTTGCTTTTAGCATTTGAATATCCGACCCTTATTATTTGGATTATTTACTGAGACCGCTAATAATTGTGAACATGTACAAAAATCTAATAATAAACCTTTGATATTTACAGAACTTATGCCCAGCCCCGGCAAGATACAGGCCAGTGCCCGCTCCGCAACCCGGCGGTGGAAAACAAATGATCTGTTATTCAGAAAAGGTAATAATAAATACTAAATAAACTTTAAAAACATTTATTCTGATAAAACCAAACGCGATAGCAGCGCCTCTCACATCGGTTTCAAACACTTATGAAACCTCGAAAAATGAAGAAGTGTTCTTGTTTTATAATAGGTGGCGCCACCACTGTATCAGCCGGCTCCCGGTTCGCCGTCACGAGTGTCCCGCGCGGCGCCAGAGGGCGCTGCTTCCTCCTCGCAAGCGCCCTCTGCTACCTCACCACTGGCGCAGCCACCGAACCCGGTTTACTATGCTATGAACGTCTGACGGGGTGATTAGGTAACACGATAATTACATAATATATATGAATTAGGCAAAGAAAAAATTAAAAATTCTGATTGACAGCACAAAAGATTACAAGGCTTCTCAACGTAAAATAGTCATTGGCCTTAGACGATGTAGACTACAAACGTAGGGCTTACCCTAGAACCTATTCTAGACGATTTAGGCAATTTGTTTGAAGATTGTTGTGTAAAATATATTATTACAATAATCTAAGTTTCCGAGAATAAAATCTACCTAATTTTTTAATGAGTAGGGGACAAACGAGCAGTGATAGTTTTATTTTTAAAATATCACCCGTGGAGTAGGCTTTATGGTAATATAATGTATGTTTTGATATTTTTCAGATGAAAATCGTGGTATCCTGCCAACATAGCCTCATCCAGTAGCCTTTGCCATGCAGCGGAACTCGACAGATACAGAAAAATGCAAACTACACTTTCGTCATATGTAATGTATTTTAAATGTTTATAATATTATCTCCTGTCGGTTTCTATAACTGAGGTAAATATGCTCGATTCAAAAGCGAAGAAATATAATAAGTTAAGTACATGAAAAAAAAATCGATGTGAAAATTAAATGTTGTAATACGTAGTCGAAAGAAATAACTGCAATTTATAGAATATTCTTTGTTATAGCGTTAAAATACGTAAGAATTCATGGTTGAGTATTGCTGCAACCACACTATGGATGGAATCTTAATTACTTCCTTCAACTAATATCTATACGAAGTTTTATAAATACATTTGCCTAACAATACTTTTCTATTAATAATATATTTATATAATGAATATTTAAGACGTTTCATGGAGAACAAATAAGCAATTTTCATTTAAAAACTATCCAAAGATATATTCCAAATATGTATTAAATCGATAGCCAAAATAAACAGTCCAAAGATTAGATATTAAACTATGTTTACGGGTTCGAACCAAAGATAAATGCCTTCTAATTTTAATTTTACAAATCTTTTTCTGTTACCTTACGCCGTAAATTTACGTATTAAAAGAATACGTATCTTCTAACAATACAGAACTCAACAAAATCAGAAATAATTAACATAAAAAAAATCATACTATTCTCTTCAAAATTCAAGCTCTTTTCTTTGCCTAGCCTTATATGTTATAAGACTTAAATGTTAGTTAACATATTAATTGAACATAGTTATATGTAAAAGTTATTAAAGTATGAATTTATTGCAAACAACATATATGGCAGCTATAGTTAAATTAACATTATGGACAATAAAGAATTTATATGGCGGCAACTTTAAAAAACAAATTAACGCATATAGAATTATAAAAAATATTTCATTGTATTGAAGAAAGATACTGCCCATTTTAATACTTGATAAATGTCATTAGCTTTTCAAGCGGCAGCTATGGAATTATTCAAAATTAATGTTATTGTAAAATGAAACGTATTTTCAGAACCATAGCCTAAACATATCATTTCAAAATTGGACTTCTTATACCATGTTATCGGCACAGTTGTACAAAAGCCACCCTTAAAAACCAAGAAATATTAATTACATATAAAAACTACTTCGAGTAAGACCATATTAATGTTAGCTGCCCTGTGGGGTCTAGATCTAGCCTAGATCATTGTCCGGCGAAACCCATACTTGGTGTTATTCTAAATAAAATCTAAATGTCTACCTTAACCTTTTAAACCTCTGTGGCGGTAAAAATAAGTTGTCATGTGCGTTTTAAAGTATTGCCAGTGCAAAAATATTAGAGTAAAAAAAATTACAATTACTAGCCATTAGTAGTTAAATGTTAGAGAATAGTGCGTATGCAAAGATTTCCAAAGCCGGCCTAGGTAAGTTTATTTTAGTGCCTAGGCAACTTATATCCCAAAATGTAGTTACTCCGAAACAGTAACACGTAAAAATAATATGTTTTTTTTTCATATTTGGCAGCATTACCAGTGACTTATCAACATTCGGTTACAGTGGTTTGTGATTGTTATATGTAAATCAAATTTAATATCTGATTTATTCCTTAATATAAATAAACATTCGCACAATTACATGACCAAATGGGAGACCAAAATTCAAACACATTTCAAAATATTTAGAAGAGGTATTTTTGAGAATTCTGCGCAGGTACCATGCTAGGCAACTCGATGTTGTTATTAGTAAGATTCGATGCATTTTAATGTAAAGAGTAGTATTGTTTTGAGATACGAGTTTATTATCATGGTATCGCAATGATCTATGGTACTAAGTAACTCGTTAATGAGAAAAGCAGGCCTTTGCCTATCTTTTGCAGTAGATGTTAGATGTTTATTAAATATTTAATTGTAAAGCTGCTAAAAGGCCAGCTTAGGCTTAATGTTTCTAATATATAATTAAGGTGCAAAAGGATTACATATTATGAATCTTTTTGACCTCATAAATTAGGGTACATATTTACATTTTAAGATTTATCGTTCATAAAATGCCATTGACAGTCATAATGAAAATAAGCTATGGTCTAAGAAATTATTTCGACATTTATAACTAAAATTATAGTGTATGGTTGTCTAAGAGTATGAGAATTAAAAATTTTTCGTATGAATTTATCGATTATTGGAAAATTGAACAAAAGAAATGTGTAGGTTCACTAATGTAGAGAAAAATCAAAATTATTTTTGGCCATTTGTTAAACAATTAGAATATTAAAATAAAAAAATTATCTATGTATAATATAATTACAGTTTTTTGTAAATTTTAATATGATGTAAATAAAACAGTGAAGTGGGAAGGCATTATCATAGACAAAAATTAGAGGAAAATATGATTCTAACACTGGTAACATTGGATGGATCAGTTGGTGAAATTTTATGGAAATTTTATAGAAGCTAAGTTATAAAGATATTGAATGTATTTAAAATTTAAAATAATATAATAAAAAAAATCTAGCGTCATGTAGATGTAGTCTTGTAGCAAACATTAATCATATGAGCAGAAAATGTTGTATAATTACAGTCTTGTGGTATTTATTAATAATAATAGTTACAATTTGATTAGAAAAAAGACATTAAAATCTATTGATTGTAATGATGTAGTGAATAATTTTATCATTGTAACTTTTTTGTTTGCTTATTCGCGTATTTTAAATAATACCTAAACTTTACTAGTACTTTGGTTTGAAATGTTAAACGGTTTTTGGGGCAAGGTGATTAGTTATAAGTGGTAATGGTAAATGTATCAAAATGATAAATTTGGTGATACTGGAAGTTATGTTCAGAAATGTGATACTATATTGTTTTTCTGCTTGGCAGTTGCTTATTTAAATATACACCTATTGATTTGTAGCGCCTAAGGCGTGTTATTATTTTTGCCAAGGTATAAATAATTTATATTCCATTTATATAAATTATTCCTTTACTTATAGAGAATATACTTATTGTCATTCTATATTCCATATAGTAAAAACTTGTTACTTGTTAGGATGAACAAACATTTACTAATATTTAAAATAATAGATCTTCGTTACCGCGTTTCGTTTTATATAGTATTATTAATAATATAATATTGAAAATAAACGGATGATATATATCTAATCATTGTATAGATATGTAGGATTTACTTTAATGACTTATGTCTATTTACGTTAATCATTAAAAACTATTTGAAAATGTTAAATGTATATTATGAATCTCACTTTATTGCTAATATGTTTTCCATAATAAACAAAGCTAAATTTTATGTTGAAGCTTTCGTACAAATAACTTTCGTTTTTACAGTAAGACTGTGAATTCGCACTGCCGACAGATAAAATATGTTGTCGTCCATTGCGAAAGATAGTAAGATATTATCGACAATGCGAATTCTTAGTGGTTTTTGCAACACATCAATTGTTATAGTACAGTTAAAATTTCTCGTTATTATTGCGTATATTCCACGCAGCGCCGCGCGAATCATTAACGAAAAATATGTTTTAGGTTTATAAACAAAGCCATGTTAGCTCTATGTAATTAATATTTATAAATCAAAATACTATAATCTATTGTATGTGTTAGGGCAATAAATGCCAACAATTTTTCAAATACCCTTGTACAAATGAATTTGTAGATTGGTAAAGTAATAAAGGCGAAAAATCTTTATATTTGTGTTTATTTATTTAAAAACCTGCATTTCCTTTATGTTAAGAGTAATTAAAATATAAGATATCTTCTATTTTAAATGAATGAAATACATAAAAATATATACTTACAATATCGACAACAGTTATCCAACACTAGCGAATATGGTCAAATCTATTGTCAAACACTGATATACTTGTCCCGTCACAAAAGAGTTGCTATCGCGGTTAGTACTGTCACGAAATTTATAAAATCTACTTAAGCTTAGAAAATGTCATGAAAGAAAACACAAGACAGCTATAGTGTGTCCATTTAAGGATGATTACTTTGACAATTCATTTGACAAGTACTAGATATGGGTCGAGTAAAATCGGCTACGAATATTTTCGATTTTCGATGGTAGTTCTCATGAAACTGGCAATCGAAAATTTTGGATTGATTGTTTTTGAATAACAATTTAAATAAAATTTTTAAAACAAATTCACTTCTTCGATAATTTTGATTGTGAGATCGGTGATCGATAGTTCATAATTGTTCGTTTTGCGCGTACGGTTAGACATATGACAACGGTCTAAGTACAACATTAGTCATCATACAAAATTAATGGGATACTTGATAGGCGTCACTTGTCAAACTAATCATACTTAAATCGACAACTGTACAGCATGACAAAAACCGCTGTGTTTTTAACAAACTATGTGAAATAATCTCTTAAAATCTGGTAACACTGGCTAGTTCTCGTTTGCCATCATTGACATAATTCATTGAATTTTAAATGTAGGAAAAGGGAAACCACACAGATGCGGTTAATTTTACGGATTGTCCCACAAAACTCATTTTTAATTATAATTGACTATCATTATAAGTGCAAGCTGGCCCGTCACAAAATGGGGAATGACATTTTTGCGCAAACTCCTCAACATGGGTATCAAATAAAAGGATTTGACTAATAAACGTGAACGTGGTAAAATCCAACCATTAACTTAAAATGAATTGCTGACTGTAGGGATAGACTTAAACATATGTTTGTATTTTACCTGTTACAATATTACAATGGTTACAAAATTCCTTTAAAATTGTTTTTTCAACTTTCGGGAAACAGCAATTTCTGTTTGTCAGTGTAAAACAGTATTTTTCCTTTCGCTCAATACTATGTGTTTTTTTATTTTATTTATAGGTTGCGGTAGTTCACTTTCAATTAATTTATGTTATAATTACAATAAATGTGTTTCGTCTTGAGTGGGCGATAACTATCTGATCTGCCCCGTTCTTGACCTGTGTTCTTTGTGCCAGTGTCCTTACCTTGACTCACCTTGACTGACGTGAGTTTCCGAGACCAAAATCCCCGTATAAAAAATATTGCCATCTCTGCCTTGTCGAAGACAATGACAGAGATGACGATATGTTTTATACAGAGATTTTGGTCTCAGAAACCGAACCGATCACGCGAGTCTCAAGTCCTTCATATCAGATGGTCATTCACGGGCAGTGAGCGACTTGCTCGCGACCCTGTCGGGAATGTAAGGCTCGATCACAGTAACTCGATCTCCCGATCGGCGCATGTCTATAATGACATTGACATGTTACTTTAACGATTTTTATTTTGTTGATGGTTGGGTACATTGTATTGATTAATGTACATCTGTATATTTGGAGACCATTTTCTCGTATCATCGTAAACATAAAGAATGGCTACTTTTCGTAAAGATAAAAAAGAAGAAGACGATGGTGGAACGAACATGTTTCAAATGTTGGATAAAACTAATATTTTACAAGAAGTTCGATACTTTAACTCGAATCAAGTGGATGCTGAGAAATGTATCCAGATATTGACTAAGACCTTAGTCATGTTAAACCAAGGGATACATCTTACAACCGAAGAGGCTACATCCACTTTTTTTGCTATAACAAAATTGTTTCAATCAGAAGATGTGATGATGCGCAGATTGGTATATTTGAGTATAAGAGAACTAAGTACTTTAGCTCAAGATGTAATTGTTGTTACCTCTTCTTTAACAAAGGATATGGTTGGAAAAGTAATCTTATTCCGAGCTGCGGCAATAAGAACTCTGTGCAGCATTACCGACAAGTCAATGTTGCAAAGTATTGAGAGATACATTAAACAGGCTATAGTTGATAGAAATCCAGCTATAAGTTCAGCTGCTCTGGTTTCTGCTCTGCACTTGTCTACATCTACATCAGATGTGTCTCAGAGATGGGTGAATGAAGCTCTGGTAATTATAATTTGATACACTTTTATGTTATCTTAGATTACAATATCTTAATCAAATAAATCGGATTAATGTAAATTTAATGGTACAAGATTAAAAAATAAATCAGTTATAATCCCTACTTTTGAATTATGTATATTATTATTATAAAGTAATTTTAAGGAAGAAGGTTTGTATTTTATGAATTGCTAATAATATGTTTTTCTTTGTTTCACAGGAAGTCATGAACTCTGCCAATGACATGGTACCATATCATGCATTTGGTGTAATTTCTGCCTCAAGAAAAAATGACCGTTTATTCATGGTGAAATTGGTAACAAAGTTGTTGCCATCTGCACTTTTTTCTCCATCATATTATACAGTTTGTCTTCTTATTCGTCATGTTGCTAAACTAGCTGAGGATGAAACTGAGGATTCAGGACCTTATATACATTTTATAGAATCTTGTTTATGTAGCAAATCAGACATGGTTATATATGAAGCAGCATCTGCTATTGTGAGCTTAAGCAAAAATATAAGAGATCTTACTGAAGTTTGTACTGTATTACAAGTCTTTTGTGCCTCTTCACAAGCAACTGTGAGGTATGTGGGTGCACAGACTCTAGCAAGACTTATTGCAAAACATCCAAAAGCTGTGATTATTTGTTCAATTGACCTTGAACAACTGATTCATGACCCTAACCACACTGTCGCAATTCTTGCTATTACAACTCTGCTAACAACCTGTAATGAGAGTTCTGTTGAGCGACTAATGAAAAAAGTCTCAAGTTTCATGACAGAAATATCAGATGGATTGGAAATTTTGGTATTTCAGGCTATTGACAGCATTTGTTCTAAATATCCCCGGAAACAAAAATTCCTTGTATCATATTTGTCTGGCATGCTTCAAGAGACCAATGATAAGGTATTCAAAACGGCCATTGCAAATGCTATCATTGAACTGGTTGAGATATATCCAGATGCGAAGGACACAGGCCTTGATCATCTATGTGAGTTTATTGAATATTCTAATGAAACATCTCTTGCAGTGCGTATGTTACATGTTATAGGAAGTGAGGGTGCGAAGGTTCGACAACCTTCAAAATATATTAGATTTATTTATAACAGAATTCTTTTGGATTCCGGAGCAGTAAGAGCTGCCGCTGTTTCTGCACTTGCTCGATTCGGAGCATCATGTGCTGATCTTCTTCCCAGTATAAAAGTAATACTTGAGAGATGCCAGACGGATGATGATGGCGAAGTTCGTGATCGAGCAGTTTTCTATAGTACCATTTTAGATACTGGAAATCAAGAACTTATCAATAACTACATTGCAAATGTGCCAAATATTGATTTTGAGTTATTAGCAAAACAACTGGAAAATCATTTAAATACACATCCAGAAGAGCCATTCAACATGGACACAATTCCAATTGTAGAAAATATTAAAGATAACAAGAAAGAATCACCACAAATTGAACCATGTCAGATTCTTTCTTTGGAAGAGCAATATGCAGAACAACTGAAGGTGATTCCATGCATTGAGAAATTTGGACCAATATTTAAAACTTGTGAACCAATTGAACTGACAGAACCAGACACGGAGTATCAAGTAAAATGCATAAAGCATGTTTACGCCAAACATTTGATTCTACAATTTGAATGTCTTAATACACTATCTTATCAACTACTTGGAAAAGTTCACATATGTTTAGATGTTCTGCCTGAATATAATCTTGTTTGTGAGGTACCATGTGAAAGTATACCTTATAAAGGAAAAGGAAATATATTTTGTGTATTGGAATTTCCTACAAATACATTAAACTCTGTAGGACGATTTGGAGCAGTTCTTGAGTTTACAGTGTATGATTGTGAACCAGCAACTGGGAAGCCTTACTTAGGAGATTTTTATATAGATACATATCCTTTGGAAGATATAGAATTTGGATGTTCTGAACAATTTAAAATTCAACCAGCATCTGATGACTGGGACAATTCTTGGGAGAGTGCAGAATCACTAAAAGAAGTAATGGATACTTTTGTCATGAATAAGTTTAATGTTACAGAAGTTGCAAAGGCTATGTGCAAGCATTTAGGTTTACCGGAATCTTGTGCAAAGGGGGCTACTATCAAGAAAATCTGTGGTTTAGGAACTTGGCGTAAAGGCATTCCAGTATGGTTTGTGGCTAAAATTATACCAGCTTCAGCAGGTGCTGCCATGCAACTAACTGTTAGATGCCCCAATGAGGCTGTAGCTTCACTTTTACTGGCTGCTATTGAATAATTTAAGAAACAAGTATATTCCTGTGTCAAATCATAAATTTTATTTAAGTTAATTTATTGTTAAAATCATGTCAGATGCATATTATTATTAAGTTTTTTTTAAATAAATAAGATGAATTTTTTGTTACTTTATTTGTTATCTTAACATATTAATAAAATTGGAGTGCTTTTTGTGATATCAATCAAAATCAAAAAAATAGCTTATAACAAAAAACAAATTTTCGTCTGTCGATTTAATCCTCAGAATGGCTGGACCGAATTTGATAGGACTTGGATGAGAAGGCAGAATTAATAGGTAGCTTTTTTTTAATTCTGCACTGATGAAATCGCGGGCAGCCGCTTCTTAGGTAAAACTTGGAGTTTGGATTGAAGGTCTTTTTCACATTAGTATTATTTAAATAAAAACATAATTAGAAGCCCGTGTTTTCTCCCAGTATGTTTTAAATCTTTTCTGTAGATACCTTTTAACCACGGTCAGGAGAGCGACACTGCAGTACGTTAGACATCAAACATTTTTTTAAAGTCTATAACTACTATTTACATAAATGCGAATGTTTGCATGGATGGATGGATATTTGTTAGAAGGTATCTCCGGAACGGCTACATTGATCTCGTTGAAATTTGGCATAGATGAAGAACATAGCCTGAAGGAACACATAGGATACATTAGTTGTTTATTTAAGATTGATTAGTTTGACAATTCATTTGACAGTTCCTTAGTGATGGGTTGAGTAAAAACGGTTATGAAAATTTTCGATTTCCGATCAAACAGTATTTTGTTAATTTTTTATTTTTTTTATTTATTGTGGCATATTATATATATAAATATATGCCACAATTAATGAAAAAAAAACATTGCTTTTGTTTGTCAACACCTCCCTTTTTGGTTTTAAGTATTTTTTATGTAGTTTAAAAGAATAAATTAGGAATAGACAGAAACAAATTTACTTATCTTGTTTTTAAAAAAAAAATAACAAAATTTCCGATTGCAAATTCTATTAGAACAACCATCGAAAATGGTAAATATTCGTAAACAATTTCACTCAACCCATCTCTAGTGAATTGTCAAACTAATCAAACTTAAATTGACAAACTCACACTACAACGACTCTCGTTAATGTTGTTTCGTTATGCAAATACAGTCCGTCATTATGACAACCAGCCATTAACAACATTAATCGACGTATGTACAAAACTTATTCGATACTCCATAGGCGTCTGTAGTCAAAAATCTATCTTAAATGGACTCGCTACTTAAGTTTTTTTTTAATAATTTACTGCCTAGAGACAGCTTGTCTGATATAAAACAAAGCCTCGAATCTGGAATAACATGTGGGACATATTTTCACGCACTAATAATGTAAAGGTCCCAAGGGATTTGTAGTTTTTTGTTATATGCTACGGTTTAAAAAACATTTAATGAGATTTGGTTCAGATAGTAATCTGTCTCGAATAACACGTGGACTGTGCAGAGGCGCAATAATGTGGTGGTGGCCCCTCGCTCTTACTGATAAAAATATTGAACCGAAAATTAATAAAGACTGTTTAAAAGAACTGAACTCTAATGACCGCTCCAGATCCTTGGTGTTTGCTACAAACAGCCATCATTAAACACGTGCCAAACATCGAACACAAACTCCCGAGACAAACAGGCATCCCCACGCTTGGCGAACTTGCAAGTTTATTCCCATCGATAATACACATAAAGTAGGTATTCCGGATTGGCAAACATGGCGAAAGAGTTTGTTGTCCATTTTTAAAGTTTAACTGAAAAAAAAATAATAAAATCTTTTTATTTATATTCCGATAAGTAATCGATTATTTATAGAATCTTAGAATCAGCCGTCAGGCCCATTTTTAGAAATATTGTTTTATAAACTACTATCGATTTTAAGATGTATACAAATGTTTCAATTGACACAAAATAAAATTTAAGTAAGTAAACCTTAAATTAACATTTATAAACTATAAGTAGTAATTAAAGCTTTCGGACTTTAGCATACGAAAGCTTCCGCAAATACGTTTGTCGAACATCCTTTAGTTTGTGTATAAAAATCCACGGTTTTTGTGAACTGAGAACACCAAAGGACAGAGCGTCGATGGCTGAAGGGTTAAAGCACTTGACTTGTAATCTCCAGGTCCTGCGGTCGAATTCCGTCATATATCACTGTGTGTTTCTGTTGAGAAGGAAAACATCGTGATACAATCTGCACATACCCGTAATGGGCCTATGGTTCAGTCACCCCTCACTTAGGGTAGTCTCCGAATCCCTCAGTGGGGACGTGTAGTGAGCTGATGATGATGAACACCAAAGAAAAACAGGCATAAACCTATCCATAAGTCTATGTTTGTCATTTGCTGCTCGACGTTGATTGCCAAGCGTGCGTAGCGGGCTTTACAATCATACTAGTGTTATAATTTTCTAACAGATAGTGTAAGAAATACAAACATTAAAATTCTGAAGTATTCTTTGTTTAAATAAAACAGAATTTTTGCGATAAATATGGAATTACCGTACCAAAGCCAAAATCTGAAGGAGTATTAATATAACGTATTAACATTATGGGACATGGATATATTGTATTGACAATGAGAAAATGGGGCCCAAGGCAACTGTATCTGACTATTAACCCCTTGCAAGACGTCTCACTGAAATAGAAATTAAAGTCAAAAATCTCCGATTGCCACTTGAGGGAATTCAGTTTCCCTTTTGCTCCGCCCCTGCGTCCATCCCTATAAGGTAATTAAATGGCATATTTTTTTCTCTTCATACTTTAGCTTAAAAGCTTGGAAAGTGAAAAAGAAAGTTAAGCCTGGTAGAAGAAAAGAAACTGCAACATTGACTATTGCAACGATTCTATTTGCAGTGTTCAAAGACGGATTATCCCTCAGAATACGGAAGCGACGTACATACGTGGGGAAATAGGCACGCCAATGATACGTAATAGAATAAACAACTAAAACACATGCTAGCACATTTCTCGCTTTTATGGCCACGTGCAATAAAAGCGAAACGTAGATATCTTGTTGTTTCTTTCTACAAGCGAACTCACGTTTTCTTGTGCGTGAACTGTAGTGATGTGATTGTAAGTCGCGGTACTTTTGTAAATACAAAAACATATATTTTATTATGTCTATTTATAAAACAACTTCTGTTTTTTTTAATTACAGCCTTAAAACACACAAACACCCAGACAAATATTCGTATTCAAAAACCTTTGTTGAATTTCGATTCGAAAGATGTTACAAAATATTATTTTCTAAGTTATGCGTCTAAACGACGACTAAAACAAGACGATCTTATTAATACTTGACTATGATTTAGGCAAATAATAGAAATAAAACTAAAATATCATTTTATCGTAGAAAGCTTTAAAATAATAGCTTATTATGTTTGTTATATTATAAAATCATTATTTCGTTAAGTAGTTGTTCATTACACTCAACAAACATGAATTACAGTCAACGTTTAACATTTTCAATATTAAAATTTTGTATTGCATACTTGTACAGGAGTGGTGAAATTAAAAATTTATGAGCAGTTTGTATTTGTGTAATTGCAATATAAATTTACAAATAGAAACGAAATTGAAATTCATTACGAAGATATTTTCGGACTCCTAAAATTTGAGTAGTTTCTATCGTCTTATCGATGTCGATATAAAGTTTAACAAGTAAGGTACAACACTAAGAATTGGAAACAAATTTACTACTGTCAACCAAACACAGTGAATTTTAAAAGTATGGATTGTTAGTTAAAAAATAATTGAAACTAAGAAATCTTGTTCATTATTTTGGAATATAAGTTCTAATCGTAGTGCCATTAAGTTTTTAAAGTAAAACAGCCAAGTGAAGTATAAGTTTAGCAATTTAAATCTTAGAAAATTTCCTTTACTCATGAGGTTCATTCAGCAATAGTACAGGTAAATTATATGTAATTTTTATTTTTATTTGCTTTGAATTGTGCACTTGCAAGCTATAGAGGCAAGCGATTTAATAAAAAAATAACGGTTCATCAATCTAGCTACTTCGTCGTTATTGTGTATACGGCTTCGGACCTACCTTTACTTAGGAGTGATAATCAAGGTCGGCGTTAAGTTAGGGCGAAGTTCGGCTACCGCCCAGGGGCGTTGGACACAAAGGAGCCATGGTCCTGCGAATTACATAGTGCAGATTGCTTGGTAGGTTGACTGGCTCAATGTGAACCGTCCGACTTCATTGACATTGACCATATGCACCATTATAGCAAACTAGAAACTAATTATAAAATTAAATTAATCTTAGAAAAACATTCTTAATAGTTTTAATTTAACATAAGAATAGAAAAATTTTATTTATGGTTATTTATTTTATATCAAAAGATGGCAAACAAGCATCCAGTCTGCCTAAATAGTAAAGTAATTGTTGCCCTTAGTAATCTGAGGTGTTGCTGTTGGTGCTGTACAGAAAGATATTTCCCCTTCATAGGCATCCCCTCCTCCGTCAAATCTTCCTCTCCTTCCCATAATTTCTTTACAACAAAATGGTAGAAGTAATGTGGACTGAAATTATGCCTCATACCCAGTCATCAGATTAAATGTGACAAAACTGTCAATTGAAAGTGATGTTAACCGCTGATAAACCTTAACTGATTTTAAAGATGTTATCACCTTTATTTTTTACCTTCTATATGTTTTTTCATAAGCAATTCTAATGTTTTGGCAGATTTACATTTTCCACATATGAATTGTTGTTTGTGGTGGAAGAGAAATTATACTTAAAATTGAGAATAATCAAAAAGCTTTATACAATAAAAGAATTTCCTTTCTTAAGAAAAAGAGGGCTTTTTTTGCTTGACTTGGCCGGAGCACTACCATACTCCAAGATACATGAGTTTAGTTGGTTATAAGTTATGAATAGTGATTCAATTAAGAAAATAGTGCTAGATTCCTGTGTCCATGAGCCTAAATTTCTATGTTTTACTGTTTTATATTTCTCTGTTTAACTTTTTAGCAAAGTAGGATTTAAAATGTAGATGATAATGAGTGTGTCCAACAATTAAATCCTATAATTAATTCCTGTGCATGCAAGCCGGGTGCCAGATTGCTTTATATCGCACAAGCAAAGCGAAAGATTTCTCGTGTCATATTTGTTTTTGTTTATTTAGTTATTGATTCTACCCATAGGAAAAATATTGATATATTTTAGTCAAATGGATACAATGTAACATACATATTTACTCACAAACCCAAGCTATTACCCTTCTGTTAGTAGTGTAAAAAAGATAAATATTACAATAGTAGGTTTGTAGATGTCAGTGTTTGCATTTTGCGGTAGTTTTGGGAAGAAGAACATAAGATTATGGCATCTAGAAGAGTCAATTTCCAAAGAAAGGATATGTAGTATTAACACTAACTACTGGGTGATGTAAAATAGAATTTTACGATCTTTTATTACTTCTCTGTTTTATAGGGTAATTGTGCAGTAAACATGCTGTATATAAAGATAAATAAAAATCGATATTCCAAATGTAAAATTTATTTGAATGCTGTATACACAATTGTTTATTGAATTAACTTTTGTATTAAATTCGCTTGAGCCGGCATAGGAACGTGCGTCGCCACGTGATTTAATTCCAACTCCGCACAACAGTCGACTCGACTCTAGCGCGACAGCGAAGTGCCACAACGGGATGTCAACTATGTGTTTCGTTTACTTCGGCACTTGTTTTAAAACTATGTTGTTGTCCCTGTTTATTGAAAGACAATATTAGGGTTGACAATATGTGTTAATACTTTTTACTCCTCAATTTCGCCAGTAATCTAGAAATTGAGGAGTAAAAGATTAGCGTGGTATGCGAAGGGATGATGATGATATAAACAAAAAAGTTATGAGATTGAATGTGGATGGCTACAAAGGTAGAGGAAGACCAAAAAAGTATGGAATGACTGTGTGAAAGAGGATATGCGTAGGATGGTGGTAGATTCGGATATGACGGCTGATAGAGATGTATGGAAGAGTAGTACATACTGTGCCGATAGGGATAAGGGCAGGTTGATGATGATTGTGCATGATGACAATATGTGTTACTAAAAGTCGAGGCAGTCAAAATATACAGTACATCGCATCGATCTAACACTGTTAGTTTGACTTGTTAATATTCATATTGTTTACGGATGATATAGCTACAAATTTAAACCCTTGCGTCATCAGAGATAGTCTATTTGCGTCTAATATTAGAATTTACAATTCGAATTTCTTGGTTTAGGCTTACTGTATATTAATATGTATTTGTGAATGATTAAGACGGCACCGCACGTGTGACAGCATCCTTAGTAAGAAGCCACATCAATGTTTCGGTGGCCTGATACTTTCTGATTTTGATTTGTCGTAGTTGTGCGATAAACCGCCAACATATTCCCTATGTATAATATTTAACTTTGGAAAGTTGTTCAAGAAATATCTATTTACTTAAATTAATTAGATTTTTTTTTAGTAAATTAATATGAATAATATGCAATCAAGCTGAAATTGATATTTAATATAAAGATAGAATAACGACGACAATGCAACCAACAGGAAATTGCATGAAAAATTGATAGCCATGTAAAATGTTAATAGGTTTCTAATTACTTGTAATATGAAACATAGAAATGTTATATCTTTTAAGAATTCCGAGTAACTTTATACAGGTACTATTTCCAGTAAAAGTATGTTTAACTTGGAAAGTCCGTTGGTAGGCTTTAGAGATATTTAAAAACTTTGATTAATTTTTTGTGAAACTTCTAAGTAGCTTCGAATGGAGGTTGACTTCTAGATTAATTAGTTGTTTAATTATAAAATTGATATCGAAGTACGCAATACATCTTTCCGTGAATGGGATTAAACTAGTTATTTTAATGATTGTTTGGAACACGTAATATTGATATTGTTATGCATTCAAAGTCCTCGGATTAGTTATATACCTTGAACTCGAGTACAACATTTAATTCCTTCAAAACAAAGTTGAACATATCGCGATATGTAGATCTATAACTTCATATTGACTTGTATTCAGACTTTAGAAAATAAGCAACCTCATCGGTCTCCTAAACATTAAGGCTGGCTCGTGTTTAGTTGTAGGAAAATTTAAACATTTGTGTAAGTGCGAACGCGAGACCGCGACATTGTCGGCATTGGTTTATAAAATTTGTAGCGTGCCTTTACATAATGGTGACTCACATTGAAAATCGATTAACAAATTAATTGTGTTGTTGTATTTCTCTAAGAAAACCTTTTATATTTCGATATTAATTTTCGACAGAATGAGACACTTTAAGATTGTTAACCCATACTTTAAAAAACATCATTTTTAAGTAAAGTATTTAATGGATCCAGTTATTAAAATGTAAAATTATATCCAGTACAGTGAAAAGTCAATTTTGTGATCAATTAAATTGAGACGCGCTTAATTGAGATATTTATGTATTGCATAGGGGTTTTTTTAACGACGCGTTTAACCTCAGCGTTGGCGGTTCTCGAGCGGTGAACGCTTGTTCATTTGAACGCCGTAGAAACAGAAATGCATTCTATTTGAACGCTTTTTAACTCACAATAAAAAGCCCTTCTTATAAATGTACTGTACGCGAATTATAAGCAAAGCACTGCGAATGAAACGCTTCATTTTGTAAACATTTGCCTAGCGATATAACTTTGACTATATTTCCTATATTCATATATATTCTACATAGTTTATGAGATATGAAATTGTTTGCTAGAATTAAAATGAACATTGATTGCTGTGTTTACTTCGATAACGCTTGCGCGAATGTTCGAACCCTTAGCTTGAAGTGATGTGATAGTTTTATGCGAATGTTCAATTCATAAAGTTGTAAAAATATACTTTTTTTTTTAAATGCTAGCGACAAATGTTCATGAATGTCTTTAATTACCATCTTCTTACAAATTTTACTTTTAACTTTATTTACTATCAACTACCAAATGGAAGACTGAGTTTAAAGACTATTTAGTTGACAAAATGAAGTTATCACTTGATTGTTTTTTTTTGTTAGTGTAGTGTAATACATATAATTTTTAAACCATTATATAACGATACCTTTGATTGCCTTTGTGGAAAAAGCTGTACAAAAAAAAGAAACTTTGTCCCTTTTGAATTGAAATCACGTTTTTATTACTCCCCTGTTTCTAAATTACTCTTATATGGCCGCCTTTGATGGGGGTACATTACAGTTACACCCAAACATTAACTCGCGTCCCTGAAACTTTTTTCGCAAATGAAAGAAATTTGTAACCTTTTTTAAAAATAGCAAAGTTTTAATTAAACGTGTTTTATTTTCAATGTATCTTCAATCACGTTTAGGATGACGATGGTTTATGGTTTTCACAATCGACAAGAACTTGGTTTTAAATTTCTTAATTTTTGTTTTAGGTTCATTAATATGGACAATATGGATGACTCGGAGAACAATGCGAAGATATCAGATTCAGCGTACTCAAACAGTTGCAGCAACAGCCAGTCTAGGCGCAGGTAACTTACTTTTGTCCTTTAGTACTTTTGGAGGTGTGACAAATGTTCTATTACTTTGAACTATGTTTTGGTAGATATAACCCACGGCTAAGAGTTTGAACGTGAATAATAATTGGTGATTAATTTTTTTAGCTCGAAATCAACTCACTCCGGAAGCAATTCGAGTGGCAGCAGCGGCTATGGCGGGAAACCATCTACATCCGGTTACAGGTAAGTCATTTAAATGATAACCATAGCCATAATGATTTTATTGTTTTTAATTATTGTCAACATTATTGTAATATTTAGTATTATAGATAATAGCAAGTCCGGAATATAAATAAAAAAAAACTTTACTCTGTGTTCTTCCGGACTATGTTCTACATCTATGCCAAATTTCAGCGAGATCCGTTCAGCCGTTCCGGAGACACATTCGAACAAACATTTATAATATTAGTAAGATATAAGTAAGAGAATTTATTATGTTAATTTAAGGGTTTTTTTACTATTAAATTTTCATATTTTTATTTGCACGGAATTGATAATTATGAAAAGTAATGTAATATTACCAACCATTATTTTAAACCGACATATTCTACGGGCATTTGCTTAGATTCTAGAAAAGTTTTCCACATGCAAAATTTTTATAATAAATTCGTTATTCTAAAGAGACGCTTGCACCTTGTATTGCAAGTCTTAGAATTTCAATCATGTTATTTGCATGTATTTACTAGGCATGAAGTATTTCAAGGTACACAATTGTGGCTTTTCTAAGAACAGAGAGAATTTATAAATGTTATTCAGTGTTTTAAAATTACTACTAATCTTTGAAATTTGCAATCTTTAATTCAATATTTTTTTACTCGTCCACTGGAGTTCAAATATTTTTTTAAATTGTAGGTGATGTCTCTGCAATGGCATTGGCATATATTAAAAATTCAAGCGCTATTTAAATAAAAAAAGAATACGATCAAATCACAAAAATAAAAAGAGAAATATGTTACAAATTCTTTTTAAGTTTTTTTTCTTTCTATAAACTGATGGGTTTCTTAAATCAGCTTAGTTTAAAAACAAAATTTAATGTTTCCATTTGTCCATATAATTTTTCTTTATAGTAGCACCAACATTAACCAACCACCAGAGAAAAGGCTGAAAGATAAAGATTCGAAAAAGAAGAAGCAAGCGCAAGCGGAGATGTTAACAGAGGTGCGAAATGAAAGAGACGATGGTTTGGAAGAAACAGCTCCAATTTTCGAAACACCTAAAGAAGTAATCGACAATGGTGGGTGACGCGACTTTCATTTTTGTATGATACGCTATATGTGATGTGCTATTAATTAATGTAAAACCTACTCATAGTCAGACAAACTTGTCTGGCTCGAAAAGAAGATGTAGTCACGGTTAATTTACGCTTGATCAGTTTAGCGCTATTTGTTAGTAAATAGTCAAAAGCACATGGTAACATAATTTAAATGTTGAGAAAAAATGCCTTCTCAAATAGTAAGGTAGTAAGTACTATTGATGTCAACTTCGCAGCATTATTTATTCCGGCAGAGTCAATAACGAATATTTTTTCATCGCTAGAATGACATAACTTTGACAGATGACAGATCATCTGAATGTTGTCGCTAACGCCACCTACTTAAAGTTTTCAGTTTTTCTCCCCATTGAAATAATTGACAAAGCCCCCGACGGGTGGAATAAATAATTTCTATGTTATGTTCATTGTATATGTATAATACATGGAGGTATATTATTTTAATACTTCTATTTTATTATATTGTTTAATAAAAGAGTGGTACCAACCGAGATAAACCCACGGTAAATGTTAAGTACACATTGGCCGGTCTTCAATTATTTTTTCTTTGCATCCAAATTTGCAATTAAAAAAATGGCGACACACAGAAAACGCAGAGAGTCTAGTGATATTTGCTGTTATATTGAAATACTGGGTTGAGTATTGTTTATATAAAAGTGCAAGAAATACACAGCGTTTGAAATAAGAACGTGTGTGATGATAACTAAAAGAGAGATTTTATTGTAAAACAGAATTTGTGTGTTAAAAACAATATTGAAGCAAACAAAGTATTGTTGAAACCAGCAATTTTGTAGCGATTTTTTATCAGAATTTGTTGTCGCACACTTCTTATTTTAAAGCCACAGAATGGTTTGAAGGTTTGGTTCATCTTCATCATTGTTCATCCAACTGTGTTTTTTTAAATTCATCTGATTTCACCTTAATCTGTTAATTCTTGGTCATATTTTTTATGATTACTGATATTGATTTTTTTTAGCCGAGATTAGAAAACAAATTTCTTCAAACGTAAAATTGGTAAAACCTTACAATAGCGAATCGTACCAAATTTCCATTGATTTGCGCATTTTTTGGGGTCGTAATGTATTACATTGAAAACAATTAATTATACAAATTGTTGACTAAATATGTTTACGTATGTACTTATTACTTAAAATATGGTTCATTAATATTGAACATCAGTTTATTATGCGACAAATAAAAAGAAATATTTAAAAATATAGTTCAATTAAATTCATCACAAGAGCAAAGAAATCTGTACAGAGTTGACAATAAATTACCTACATTATATGCCTTAAACTCTATTGCCAGTAAGTTTATGAAAAGTCTTGAAGTCTATGATATTCCTTTTTGTCATTTTTAGGGTTCCTCCAGGTCCATCCTTAAAGGACCTTTGTTGTTCGTCCGTGTGTCTGTCAAGACTCTTTTTAACCTAAATAAATATGTTAAAGAACTGAACATTTTTAAAGATTAATCGCGAACCAAGAGAATTTGATTTTTAATAAACAACTGCTCTTAAATTTATACCCACATTATTATTATTGCAGAGGGCCTGAGAAAGTTTGCGGTTATATTTCATGTTATTTTCAATAAATTATTCTGTAGTTCCTTGGGTGTTACACGCTGATACACTGTTCCATATTTTAAGGTAAAGTACAATGGGCAGTGGATGAATGGTACGTAATATCAGATGTTTTAACTTGACAGTAACTGGAATACGCATTGTGCAAAAAGTGTACCAGTCTCATCGTGGGTTTCTGTAAACAAAATATCCGTTTAAAAATATTGTTATCTCTGTTTTAACAAATGTCAGGGATAACGATATATTTTAAATTGAGATATCGGTCTCAGAAACTCACGGTCAGTGTAAGTTTAAACGCCACGTTGAGACACTCTAAATCTACATTAAGGATATCTTTAATACAGATTTACTACGGCACTGCTGAAGTAACCATTAAATTACTGTGTTCGGGTATGCGTGTTTTTTAATATATCAATTTGTTATATTTGTGACATTTGAAACTTTAAAAACCTATTTACCATTACAATTAGTTTTTAGTACATAAGTAGATTTTACATATTTACTTTTTGCACAAAAGCGCTATCGAAATCATGAGACGATTTCTACTGTTCATACATTTACTATCTTGGATATTCGTGGACTAATTTCAGATTAAAAATAATGGATAACATTTCTTAATTAAAATGAATTGTTATGTTGTGCAGTTGTGCTGTTGTCGTCACCAGCGCTTGCGTCACCCGAAAAAGGTTCCGAAAGCATGGACATTTCCACGGTCGAAAATACAAGCAGTAAAGGTGACGCCGAACCCGTGAGTGTAGTTTTTTTCCTTAATAGAAGAATAACCCTCGTGCGGTTCCGTTATTGCGACACCCCAAATTGGAAAAATCACGTTATTATATCTCATGCTACGCCGTCCTTTCGACAGAGTTCAGTCAGAGTTGAACGTTCGACAAACAAAGTCCCATTCGTTATGTTTGAAAAGTTGCGTGGTCGTGTAGGACCACCAATGTATATATTTAAATATAACATATCTCTTACAGTACGCTCAAGCACTATATTTAATAATAATAGAATCTTGAGTTTTAATTACTTTTCTGTTTATTTTTCCTTTCTTTGAATTAGTTTTATTTTTCATAGTTAATCTATTTTTATAACGATTCTATTACGTAACCCTTTCTTGTTAAGTAAGTTAGAATTAAATTAATTACTTTTATAATTACCAGTTTGATCCTGCAACGAAATCACCGGTCCACAAAACGTTGGAAAACACAACAAATCGGACGCCATTACCTTTTCCTGTAAGTGTATTTATATTTTCTTATAAAACCGATTACTTATAAACTGTTGTAGATATTATCTAACCACTGCTGTAGGTTTCAATTAAGACGTTTATGAATTAACCTTTTAATTAACTACGAGAAACTTCCAGAAAGTAATCGACTTCAATAGGGACTAATTATGTAAGAATTATTTCAGCTATTATACAGCTTGATGTAAGAATAGATAGATTTATCGAACGAAAGTTTTGTGTTGATTAATTTTAGAGTACACTAGCTGCCGCCCGCGACTCCGTCCGCACGGAATTAAAAAAGAACTTACTAAGTCACTTATGCGTTCTTCCAGGATATGTTCTTTATCTGTGCCAAATTTTATCAAAATACTATGAGCCGTTCCAGAGATACCTCGTAACAAATGTCCATCAATTCTTCCATAAATCAAAATTTACGCATTCATGACATCAGTATGATTAGCAGTCTGAATTTCTTAGAGTTATTCGCATGATTTAACACAATTGATGTTACAACCAAATTTTAGATTTATATAAATGTTTTGTCTCGTAGGATGGATTCTCTTGCGTAATATCTATGCAAGACGGTGTGGTCATGTACACAACTTCATCGCTCACTTCAACGCTCGGTTTCCCAAAGGATATGTGGGTTGGCCGATCTTTTATAGACTTCGTTCATCCGAGGGTAAGGCCTACTCTTGTTTATGTAATTTCGATTTTTCAAATGAATATATTAAGGTAGCTTCGTTAAAAATATTGTTTGTACTGTGAGTTACTAGAGGTCGCCCGCGACTCTGTCTACGCTGAATAAAAAAATAATAATTAGACTATGTTCTATATGTTTGCCAAAATTCATCAAGATCCGTTCGGCCGATTTGGAGATACCTTCAAACAAACATCCATCCTAAACATATCGCGATATCATGTTAGTAAGAGGTGTAAGGAAGAAAATCCGACAGTGTGCCGGTGTACTGGTGCAACACTAGCCCTAGTAAAATGTTGACGTTTATGTCCCCTCACTAATCATTTTGATACTTCACTTTATAATCAAAGCGCGCCATTCGCGCTAAAGGATTCTAACTAATAATGTCTGAAAGAAGTAAGGTTAAAACCCATTTTTTTGTAACAGGACCGGAGTGCCTTCGCTTCGCAGATAACAAACGGATTAGCGATACCGAAAAATGTAAATGGTACGCAAGAAAAAGGTAATATTTTTTATTTAACAATCGATCGCGCAACTAAAGAATGTTGCATGACTAAGTATTAGATCCTGGGCTATATCGCTTGAACCGAGCTGGCTTCGCTTCCTTCGAAACATTTAGTTCGACGTAAGTTCATGTACATATCGTTATTTTATTTACAACATACATTTTATCATTAAATGTCTTTTTATATTAATTTGTACTATTAATTGAACTCTATTTTTATAAAAAAACTTCTTATTGGAAACACTTACAAAGAACAAAGTACATAAGAAAGTACAATATTACATATAAAATTAATTAAACTGTCTTTAAAATTAATTAAAAATAAATTTATATAATATACAAGAATCGATTTAAATCTAAAAAAAATGAAGACATGATATTCATACACAGAATAGTTTATAATTTGCGCATTTAAGTGTTGAGCTTTTCTAGTGTTAGAATAGAAAAAATGTTGTCATGTGATAAATGTTAAGGTATCTTATATTCGGTACATACATAGTGGTACATACAATAAAAAAATAGTGGTCGTTTATGTTTGCATGGTTTGCCTGAATACGACGCGATATTTGTTTTAACGGGGACGAAAATTTAAATAAATGCAGACTGGATGAAATGATAAAAAAAATGACGATACTGGTGTAACTTATGTTCTAAGAACGTCACTTAAGTTAAGGACTTGAATGTTAGACCACTAAAGATTCTTATGAAAGGAGATTGTATGTGGCAGAGGTGCTGTTAAAATGTAGTGCGACACGCAGGTTAAGAATTTGTATATTAGATGTAGTCTGAAAGTAGCGGCAGTGATGGAGAAATTGTGAAGCAAAAGGCAGAGGAAGATCGAAACAAGTATGGATGGATTTTGTGACAGGATATGCGTGAGATGAGAGTGAACTTAGTTATGGCCGCTGATAGACATGGACATATTTAGGGGTCGTAAATATTCTGCCGATCCTCCGTCGGGAGTAGATGAATATGTGCGATGTTATACGAGTAAATATGATGATACAAAGTAATACAAGATTTTACAGGATCACTGGTTTTATAAAAGGATGTGAAATCTTCGGTGGAGGAATAGAATTCAGCACAGGAGACGATTTATGAAATGACGGTTAGTTTTAAGTATGGTGCGGGTAAAATTGAAAGATTAAATATAAATAATATATTAAACTAGCTGTCGCTCGTGACTCTGTCCGCACGGAATTAAAAAAAAACTTAATAAATAGCCTATGTGTTTTTGCAGACTATGTTCTACATGTATTCAAAATTACATCAAAATCCATTAAGCAGTTCTGGATATACCTTCAAACAAACATTTACATTTATAATAATACTAAGACTAAATTCTGACATTTGCAACGATTTGAGATTATGTATGTTGTATAGTTAATTTTAATATATAACAATGAGGTAACGTTGGTACATTAATAAAGGTCGTAATAACGCGTATATACTTAAAAAAACTCTATATAACTATCAATCAAAAATTCTAAGCTACATCGGACAGAAAAATTAATAATTTTAATGTGAATATGTTTCATTATGTTACTAATTTTATTTACAGTGCCTGAAAGAGATAACTTGGTGTCATCTATGGTGTGTCGTATCAGACGATACAGGGATTTAGCATCGGGATTCGGAGTTAAAAACAACGCTGTATCATTCTTGCCTTTCCTTTTGAAGCTATCCTTTAAAAATGTCAATAACGAAGAGGGTAATGACATATATCTAGTCATACAGGCGTCACCATTCTTCTCGGCATTTAAAAGTAAGTTCAACATTTTATCTTTAAAAATCATTTTTTTAACTTTTTATTAAAATTAATTGGCTAACATTGAACTAAAGTGGTCTATGAAACAAAATGACCAATTTCAGAAAAACGAAACACATTTGAAGTTATTATGTACTTATGAATGTATTTTCTAGCTGTCGCCTACAGATTAAAAAAAAAACAGATTGTATCCTATGTGTTCTTCCAGACTATGTTCTACATGTGTGTCAAATTTCATCATAATCTGTTCAGCCGTACTGAAAATATCTTCAAACATCCATCCATCCATTAGTAAGATTGATATTAAATATTGATTCGGTAGTTAAATAGATAAATAAAATTAATAGATGTAGCCTGGATTAATTTATCTTTTTTATGTTTAAAAATACTTATTTAGCTTGATTTAGCCTAAACTGTTACATAGACATTTTAGTTCTAGGTTAGCCAGTTCTTTGAAGAAAGAGACATTGATACTAACGTTGTTTTTAATTTGCAGTACCAAACGAGATTGTAACCAAACCAGTACGATTCATCATTCGTCATGCGGCTAATGGTACCCTTGAATATTTGGATCCTGAGTCAGTCCCGTACTTAGGATACCTACCACAGGATGTTACTAATAAAGACGCATTGCACCTTTATCATCCCCATGATTTGATATATTTGAGACAAATATATGAAACTATTGTAAAAGAAGGCATGTCTCCGAGATCAAAACCATACAGGTCAGTCAACTCGGCATAGTATTTATGTTTGCTATTTGTTAACGAATAGTCGAAAGCACGTGTCAACATAATTAGGTTAATTCCTTAAAATAGTATAAAAATGAGGAAATGAATCTTTATATTTGATTTTTATTTTGATTAATCATGATTTTTGTTTGTTACAGGATGAGAGCACAAAATGGCGATTTCGTAAGACTAGAGACAGAATGGTCTTCATTTATCAATCCCTGGTCGAAAAAACTTGAGTTCGTTATTGGAAAACACTATATCATTGAAGTAGGCATTGATTTTAATCTATACATATTAATAAAAAGGGAACGGCTGTATGTAACATCAAAAATTCATTTTTTGTTCTTCTGCTTTTGTTCCGGGTCATCTCCGGTACTTTAAGATTATTTTAAAGGGAAGGTAGCTGATATATGCAAGCATATCATAAGTCACTTATTTTTTTTAATTTGCGCTGACGAGGTCGCAGACGACAGCTAGTTAATTTATATAAGCAGAAAAGAGTAGTTAATAACATGTAAAAAAATAGGAACAAAACATATTAGGAAGGAACTCGGTGTTGCAATTATAGTGCGGGATAAAGCCGCACTTACTGTTTTTTTTCTTGTATAAGTTTTTTTATAGAATATAATTAAGACTTCAAAGAAATTATATAAGTATTTTTGTTCTAGGGACCTTTAAATCCTGATGTGTTTCAATCGCCTGATCCCAACAAAGTTCAAAAATTTTCTGAAGAAGACAAGTTAAAAGCTCAATCTCTGAGAGAGAGCATTATTAAAATTTTAAATGAAGTAAGTACTTTATATTTGTTTAATATTGTTATTAAGTGTTCAGTTAATGCTCAGAATATCGCGCAAATTGCTGCGCAGATCACAATGAAAGGGGAATCCTGAAGCCCGGCAAGAGGCACAAGAAAATGGTTTTTGAGGGGTTTTAGTGAAAACCCTCCATGATCCAGTTTCCCCTAGGAGAAGGGTAGGGTATCTTTATTAAGATTTCATACCCAATACATAATATGTGGGTAGAAAACTGGGGGTGTAGTTGACCTTGAATTTAAAACATTGAAAAGGTTAATAATTTAAAAATGTTTCATCTTAGGTTCTGACTAAGCCAGCTGAAGTTGCAAAGCAACAGATGAGCAAGAGATGCCAAGACATAGCTAAATTTATGGAAAGCCTTTTAGAAGATCAACCAAAGAATGATGATGATATTCGTATAGAACCGCAAGATCCTGATCACAGCTACTACGTAAGTTTTTAATTTTTTTTCAAATCATTTCTGTCTAAATTCTCATTGAAGTAAAAAAAAAATGCTACGTACATATTGGTCACAGTCGGTGCTGATGTAAGTGGAAAGGAAACTTCATAAAGAAACATGAATTGCTATGTAAATAGTAAACAAAATAGATTGGGAACTATTGCTAGCATTTTGTTACGAATTGTGTTTCCAACGTATATTTAATATAATAAGTTGACAACAAAAAGCGTTTAAATTCGCCGAAATAGCGAAGCGATCGCAATCCATTGTCATCAGTGTTTGCAGATGCATTGCCTTCTGTAATTGTAATAGAAAGCGAAGAATTCCTTTTCTGTGCATCTCCTCCATCAAATCAACTCCACTTTCCCATCTTTATACATTGTTATGTCTAGAATTTCTCTTATTCTAATTTTGTGGAATTTTAAATATACTAGGGTCGAAGTGAGACGTTAGTTAGCAGACAGATGATGTTACAGGAACGTGACTCAGTGATGCTGGGAGGTATATCGCCGCACCATGACTATAACGATAGCAAGTCAAGCACTGAGACTCCAGTCAGCTACAATCAGCTTAATTACAACGACACATTGCAACGGTAAGGAAAATCTAAGTAATATAGACTAGGTGTCGCCCGCAACACCGTCCACGCGACATTAAAAAAAGTTGATAAGTACCTTACTTGTTCTTTCAGACTATGTTCTATATCTATGCGAAATATCAGCGAGATCCTTGCAGCTGTTTGGAGATACCTTCTAACAAAAGTCCATCCATCCAAATATTCCTATTTTCATAACACCTGAATGTATATCACTGAAATTTGGCGTAGATGTAGAACATAATCTGGAGGAATACATAGGCTACTAATTAAGTTTTATTATTCCGCGCGGACAGACTTGAGTGCGATATCTAGTAGTGTAATAATTTAATTTATGTAAATTTTTATGTTCTAAATTAGGAGAATTATACATGAAAGATTTTTGTTAACAACAGTCATATTCGTTTAAGGTATTTTGTACTTAGTAATGTTAATAGCTTGTTAATATTGTTTTTAGGTATTTCGAGAGTCATCCATCTTGTTCGTACGAAGAGTACAATACAGTGACAGGTGAAAATGTTCTGGGAATGCAGGATCCGAAGACGAATTCAAAGTGAGTTATAAAATACATCAATATTTTATACAATATTGCTCCATACAAAATTTGGAGCCCTAAGGACCTTTAAGGGAGGAATTTCGTTAAATTCCTGCATAGTAAAAACAACCTCTATGCAAAATTTTAAATCTCTAGACCCACACGTTTTGGCTGTGTTTACTCTTTTATAGAGATGTATTACTCATCCATACATCCGACATCTTTCTTTTATTATAAAAAATATATTAACTGTTATAAAGATACTTAGTTACTTGGATTCGATAAAATTTGATGATTTGGCTTTAACATAGTAAGCAGAAAATTGTGTTCGATTAGTGTTAATATAAATATGATTTGTGTATGATGATTTAAATTGTTTTTTTATTCGTATTTGTAGAGAGGGCACGTCACCTTCAGCGGATATAGGCGATTACGGTGATTGTGATGTTGAACCAACAATGATGGATAGAAATAAACAAAACTTTTTGGGAGATTATCAGCCTATACGACTCACTGAATCCGTTTTATCCAAGTAAGTTTATATACATTAACACATACAGGTAGCTAAGTACATAAATAGATAATTGCTGAACTTTACTTATATATAAAAATCTCGTGTCACAATGTTATTTACAAGTTCATTAGTTTTTATGAAATTTTATATGCATATTCACTAGGTCTGAGAATCGCCTACTATTTTTTGTTCCTGCACAGACGGAGCCGCGGGCGACAGCTAGTATATTTGAACATTGTGACATGTACGATTAACATCTTAATCATCGGGTGAATATTAGTTTGTAATAAATAATTTATATTTTTCCAGGCATAACGCGGTAATGGTGAAAGAACTTGTCAAGATACATCGAGAAAATCGCTCTAGTAGTAAAGGTGAAAAGGAAAAGAATTCCAATGAGAATAGACAAAAAAAGAAAGAACATTTAGCAAGATGTAATGCATCGTTCCAACCTACGTCCGTCGGTATAAACATGACTCCACCGCAAGTGAGTAGAAAAAAGGTATTTACAAGAAACAACACAAAGTCTTACTACTTATATACATAAATAAGAATTCCAGCTTGATAACTTCACGCGTTTTTAAAAAAAGAGTCTTGATAGACAGACAGACAACAAAGTGATCCTATAAGCGTTCTGTTTTTTTCCTATGATGTACGGAACTCTAAAAAATCATTTATTATCGGCTATATTATATGGATGGTTGTTTGTTACAAGGTATCTTCAAAATGGCCCTATGGATGGGTGTCTGAAATTCGACATAGATGTAGAACATAGTCTGGAAGAACACATAGACTATTAATTAAGTTTCTTTTTTTTTGCACAGATGGGGTCACCGACAGATAGTCGTAACTTAAATATTGATGTAAAATAAAATTGACGTTATATTTTAAATTTTTTCTCAGACACAAGGAGTTAAACGTGCTTCAAAACAAATTGAACAGGAATCTGGGGCACATAAGCATCATTGTACTGCTCCTAGACAAACACGTCGCAGACAGCCAACAACCACAATACCACATACTGTTACTACACCGGTGACAACAACTGCTGGTAAGCAAGAAATTTTTACATTCCTGCTTGTGTGTTTCAGTTTCTTTGATAGTCAAAGAATTTTTTTTCGTACCCATCTAATATCTATAGCACAATAAGCTAGACATTTCTAGATGTATTATAACAATGGGTTTGTCGCGTAGCACTAACTAAAAATACTTGTTTGGATTTTTTTCGGTTAAACCTTAAGAACTAGATAATGCCAATTTGGAGCAGAAATCTAAGGTATTTAATCTAATCTTGTCTAAGTCTGTAGGGGGAGATTTCCTTTGTTTTTCTGTTTATTTAGTCTAGATATTATTAGATGTAAAATTTTTCGGAATGACGATTACTATTCAGATAAGATGTGGATAAATTCCTTGAAATATAAAATCGTGTTAATGTTGTTTATAAATTGTTTTGGTAGCACCAACAGCCTGGCCGTCAAACCCAATGAATGCTTTTATATTGGGCGTTGGAATACCGCAACAAATGTCAATCGTCAGTCCTGTAGCTGCTATGCCAGGTATTAACATTGTATTTTTTTAAATCTGCAGCTATGTCTCACTAACCGTGGGTTTCTGAGAACGAAAACCCTGTTGTTTTGACAAAGGTAATGTGAAAACAAACAGGGATGTGTTTTATATAGAGAATTGGATCTCAGAAACCCATGTTTATAAATATTTGCTTACTATTTGCGTTATGCCAGATCTTTTCTTTGTATTAACACCAAATAATTTAATTATGAGATAAATGAAAAATATTTTACTAACGCCAAGGGTTCGTCTTTACAATTTTTAAATATGTGCAGTATTAAATTAGTCGATTGTTATTTTATATAATGACGACAAAAATACTAGTAAGTATTATTAAAGATTTTTTTTCTTTCTGGTTTTTTATTGTTATTACAAACTCTGATATTTTCACCAGCTTTATTTTATCTCTGGAGTTGTATGGCTTAGAAACTGATTTCCTACTTATTTTAATGAACTGTGTTTTTTTTACATTAAAGGTATGTTTCCAATGCACTATATGCAAGCGCATGGTCCGCAAATGCAAGCAAGTACATCTACAAACAATGCAGTTCCTGGGCCTAGCTCTGGACAACAATATCAAGAACCAACAAGTTAGTATAGCTCACTGTTAAATTGTGAATACTCCTACTTCCTGACCCTGTCTTTATCTAAAAATGGGAAGGAAAGTAGTTTTGGCAGGAAAGGGGATGTGAAGAAATAAGTACGTCGTCTCTCTGTCCATTTAAAGTGGACAACGCTTTAGAAACTTGTTAGAGATGTTGGATGTGTAGATGGATGTACGAATGTATAGATCGATGTATGGATGGAAGGATAGATGGATGGATTGACGGATGAATGGATGTTTGGATGGATGAATGAATGGATAGATAGATAGATGGATAGATGGATCGGCTGAACGGATCTCGCTGAAATTTGGTACATTTATAGAATGTAGTCTAGAAGTATAAACGGCTGCTAATTATTTTTTAATTTCGCGCGGATGGAATCGCAGGTGACTGCTAGTGTTTCAATATATTTAATTTTTATTTTGTTTCAGTGCAATGTATGATGTACGGGCAAGCAGTGTATGGATCACCTTTCATGTACTCACCTATCAATCCGCAAGTGACTTACCCCGTGCCACAAAACTTTGTCACGGCGCAAGGAGTTCAATATGTAAACAATTTAAATACACTAGGCTTAGGGACCAGCAATTACGTTGAGGTAAGCGACTGATATTTTCTATTCTATCTTCTTATTTAACATTTATATTAATAGAAAATCATGTCTGCTTTGATACTTACGCTCTAACACTATTAATTCTTTCAGTGCATTTAGCAAAAAGTAACCTTTTAATATCACATCTATCTGCTTTTAGTCAATTGTAATTTAAATTGAAATATTTATTTTTTCATTCTCTCGATCTCACTACAACACAAGGTTACGTAGATATATTTAATCGTATCAACTGAAATTATAAAGTTTATTGAGGTGTTTGTATCGTAGTGATTTGTTAAGTAACTTATGAATTACGTGAACCATATGTCTATGGTAAAATATATTATAAGGTATTGAAAAAATAATGTGATTTAATATTTTCATAATTGTATGAAAAGATTTTTATCTTTACTGACTTTTGTATGATTATTGCATATTTTTAATAATAAATTGTTACATGGATATACGGCTTTTCCTCGGATAAAAATCATGTAGAAATATTACGTAACTCAACTTTTTAATAATAGACAAGATGTTATCGGTTAACCTAATATTAAGATAGTTTTCGTTAACACTATAAAACTACAGCCTTCGTTTTTAGGAGCAAACGTTGTATTATATCGGATTTTAGTTTATAAGGAACATAGTAAACATACATTAAGACCAAACTATATTTATCGATAGTTAGTTTCAAACGATCGATAAGAATATTTGTACCGGCGCCTCACTAGTCTTATTAAAATATCAACGCTTATGTCCCATCACTAATCGAGTTTGACACTTGACGTGGTAAAGGTAGCGTGTTTGCGCGCCATTCTAACTTAAAATGTCTAAATTTTTTTTTTCAATGATTACATATTTCGTTCTTAAGTAAGAAAAAAATGATTGTATAGGTTAAAATTTTATATCTATATAGAGAATCGCGTTTTATAGCACTTTTTTTACGACTTTTGGGACTCTTATCTACGTTTTATTATAGATTTTGACTGCCCTGACTCTTGTACTAACACATAATGTTGTCTCTGTCTTTTCAAACAAAAAGTAAGGGAGAAAATATGTCTCAATAAAAGTGTCACTACAGTAAAACCCATATTTGCAATTTTACATTCTTCACAGCTCTAAAGATAATTTAAGTATGGCATGTTTTATGATATTTAAGACGTTTCTTAATCGACCATTGTTTTTTTAATAATTTATTTCGAAAATGATATTATCTAGTCGAGAAGTTACTCTAATTGAGTATTCTGAGTGCGCTTTTTCGCTATTCTCAGGTCATTTTTTGTACCTATTATCAAATAATTTATCTTTTGCGAATTAAAGTGAAAATCCGTGTTTCTGTCTTAAATCATTAGAGGTTTCGGACAGAATGGTTTGTCACGATTTTTAAATACGCCAACTTCGCATGTTTTGATGTCAACACATGTCCTACGATCGATACGACGTAAAGATATCTATACATTTGATGGAAATCGTTCATATGTTATAATGTTTGTACATTCAAGACATATTTGGTTGCCAGTCCTAAGCCTGGAGAAAGTATGAAGGAAAATTTTAATCGTTGTTCAAGTTTCCAGCCTGAGTTTCATTGGCTTTGGCTTTTAAATATTTTGTTCAAATGTGCGCAAATTAATAGTTGCCAGATTCATATTGATTATCTGCCAAAAATAATCAAATTGTTAACGCCATTATTAACGTATGTAAGAAAGTTGATAGTTTATTTAGGTCAGGACATGAAACTAACAACACTTAACTCATTCACAATTTCTATATCATTATTTTCTGCAATCGTTGGGTTCATTCAGCTTTATCATAATTAATTGCTTACAAATGTGTTAAATGGTGGGATAATTGTACGCTCGAAGTTGTAGCAGAACTACGTGTAATAATAGAATGCATACGCAGGCGTGTAAGACAAGTTTGCCTATGAAGACGGAAAAATCGCACTTCGGAAATACCTGGAAGAGCAGGAAACGAGAAAATGAAGGAAATGTTCAAGGGAGCTTATTGAGTAATTCTTCAGAGAACGCTTCGAACATGGTATGCGATTTTGAACATTATTGTCGAATAAAACTTTGTATTGTGTCCCAGGTTTTGAATATTTGTAAAGGTAAGTTCTTGTGAACAGTTTTGAGGTTTCGATGATTCAGGAAATAATTTAATTTCGTTTAGGAATTGTAATATATATTTTTCATTCAATCTTTTTCCTTACACTTTTTATATCCACTACGATGTTTCATTAATGAAATATATTATTTCATTAAATTTTCTTTTGACAAATAACTGCCTTATTTATTTAAATTCCTCAATACAAAATTTAAAATCGGCAAATCTTAGATTAATGACGCGGTGTTCTTGTCTTGAACAAGTTAATAGCTTCACAAAAAATCCTTCTCTCTACGAGAATATTTCCCCAGTTAAATGGAGTAGATTTTCCGGCGAAGTTTGATAAAATTTAATATTTCCTTAGTCACTACTGTCCGTTTCTCTTGTAGGAATCGGGTGCTCTAAGTAGCGATAAAAGTGGGACCAGGAAAACGCCGGAGAATTCATCAGACCTCAGTTTCTTCAGGACCAGTTACAGTGTAAAGGTTAGGGCTGTTCAGAATTAGGTTCATAATTTATTTCTCATATTTTCGTTTCACAGTAACAAGCCATTATCGCGCTCAATGTGTTACAATGGCATTTCTCTTATTAAGTCTGTTCATCAGGTCAACATTGTTATGTGAGTCCTATGTGAATGGTAAGTCTTTTGGCCGTTAAATTCATAGCCATCTTTTTGGTGACATGTGCTTATTTAATTCCTACTAGTCCTTCCTTCCTGGCTTGCTCATTCATCTATGATAAAGAAAGAAGTAACTACCTTAGTGTAGTTATTATTACCATGGAGATCTTATAAAAAAAACCAACGTTTACTGGATGTATTTATACTTATATACCTTGTCTTATATTATATGCAATTGCGATTTTTCTATGACTATATTTAGGGTTCCGTTGTGATTAAAATTAAGTGCGAATTACACTACCACATGATACCTAAATTACAACTAAAGATTGATAAAACTCTTGTTATTGTTACGTTATAGTGCTAGAGTTAAGCGGCTAGGAATTTAACAAGTATTATTTTGTTGCAAAGCTGATCGCCAAATAAAAAAATTACACGAGAACAAAAATCTTACTATTTTTTTTATCTACGAGAAAATATTCTGATATTCCTGTTTTCAAATATAGTTTATCAAACAGAAACAATGTAATTAAGATATTCCGAGATATTTAAATGAATATAAAATAATTTCTAAACTCTTGAAAGGTAAGTTCCGTTAAAGCGACATATTTTCGACTAAAGAATCTGTTCAACATTGTCGTACACGTATTTACCGGACATTCTGTGTTTATGTTGTACAAATTTTGTAACCTGAATTCCTACACAGATTTTATGAAATTTGGTACCTTAAGTTCTGATGATAATAAAATATTTTATATTCAGTGTCATTGTAAACCCAAAATGGCCGCCGTCACAAAATATCGGATGACATATTTTTTTTCAAGCACCCAAACATGGGTATCAAACTTTGACTATTAAAACAACTTGGTAAAATCTTATTAACTTGAAACTTAAAAATTATTTCTAAAAGTAGAAATTCGTTTAAAAATCTTTTTTTAATATTGTCATCTGTTATGTTTATGATGTTACTAGTATATTAATCAAACTTATATTAGTATATATTTTAGCTTTATGTGTATCGTATAAGTATTTTCTCTATTTATATAAACATTGCAACATTTAGGAACTTTCTTCAGTTGTAAGGTCAAAAGTATCGTGAAATCGTATAACGCGGATCGTGTACTAATAAATTTTACGCAAAACAAACTATAAATAAATCAATGTGTACCGCTTTGTACCCTTAACACAAGTTATTGTGATATTGTAACCAAGTAATTATTGTTATTATATAAAAAGTATGATAAATTACCGATGTTATGGCTTCAAAAGAAATAACAGGACCTGGATCATATATGAAAATTACGTCTACACGCTATAGATTTACATCACTTTGAGATTTTATGTTTCAAACATTTTTACTTACTGCAATGATGTGTGATATTTTATTGCATGTTTGTTGTTTTGAGGAATGTATCATTTACCCTGAGTTTGCACTGACGAAGCTTGTACATAAAGAAGTTATGTGTGCTAATATGCAAGCTCCGTGAAAGTTTAAAAAACTATTTTTACAAATTTTTGAGTCTAAATAATAGTACTTTTAATATTTTAAAAAATGATGGCAACCGAGTACAACAAGTCCTTGGAAAACATGACTTTTGAAAGTTTTAGTGCAAATTCACGGTCATAGATGTTTCTAACGAACACTAACGTTGTATAATATCGTGTTTATATAAGTTGTTGTTTGTCAACAGAGTACAAAGGCGGTGCACGACGTGACTCAACCCGACGCAGGTCAAGGGGCGAGACCTGGCAAAAGCGAGGAAACGACAGACAAAACTGATGGAGAATCAAGCTATTCGTCATTTTATTCATCATTCTTTAAGACAGAATCAGGAAGCGCTGAAGAAAGTAGCGATACCAAAAAGCTTGGCAAAGAAAGTAAAGTAAGTCTATTTTTATTTTTTACGTTTATTTTTATAAGATGGTAAACGAGCAAGCAACCACATGAATAGGTCGAAATCTCGGACCTCTGTCTATTGACATCCGCAGTTACAGATGCGTTGCACGAACAGAAAGAGGGTGTTTCCACCTTATTTGCGTCCTCTTCTCCGCGAAATCTACTTTACCTTCCCATCTTTTCCTTGTAAAAAAAGGTAGGAAGAGAAAGGAGATTAAATTTAGGCCTCCGTCATAAAACTCGTCAGACACAATGCCAATTCCACTCTTCTCTCCCATTCCGCTATTATTTAATAAGGGAAGGCTGAGTCGAGGGATTGAAGCGGTGAGGGAATGTAAAGGAAAAGGAAATATAATCTTCCTGTTCACGTCCCCTCCTCTGTCCATTATAATGGCAGGCAACATTCAATTTCTTGTAAATATAAATGGGTTTTTATTTAAAACTTTAGCAATATGTATTTATAATAATATTTTTTTTTAACAATTTCAGAACAACTTTGATTGTGGAAGTAGTTATCCAGGATTCGGTGCGGAGCAAACGAAGAAAGGAGCCAGAAGGAAAATGGAACCGCCATGGATGGAACATGTAAGTAATATTTTTTTATCACATAAATTTCTCGTCATACTCTTATCATAATAAAAGTGAAGTAAGGAAAGTGAACTTGGGCCGTCAAAAAGATTGAAATAGTCAGTGTTAATCTTACTAATGTTTGGATGTATGGATGTATGGATGTATAGAAAAGGATGGATGTTTTATTAGAATATTTATCTAGACCGGTTCAATGGATCTCGATGAAATTTGGCACAGACGTAGAACATTGTCATTTTAGTATAGTCATGGTCTGTCCTCGGTGGCATTTCCAATCCGCTACGACTTAGTTTCCTTCAAGAAGCTAGCGTATCACCATCTCAAAGGCCGGCAACACATTTGCGGTTCTTCTGATCTTGCAGATGTCCATGGGCGGCGTTGAACACCTCGGTTTTCCCGCAGTTCGTTTGCCCCCTTCTGTTATATAAAAGATGATTACGGCATTTTCTATTATAGATACCAAGATATACCAAGTTCCAAAGTACTAAGATAATTTAAAACCCGAATATATACTTTTTCTTTATATATTTTTAAATATTAATGTTCAAATATATAATTTTTTCAGGTGTGCGTTACATCCGAGCTTATTTATAAATATCAAATTCAAACGAAGAGTATGGAGGAAGTCTTGTCTTGTGATAAGCAGAAATTAAAGCAATTGGAACAGGTACGACTAATTATCGATTTTTTTTATTTACACAAGTTAGAAAATATGTTCTAAAACTTTTTTATTGTATTCTTGTTAAGGAAGTTAAGAATGGTTTTTTTTTATTATAGCCATCGCTGGTGAATGAGCAATTGGGTCAGCTATACTTAGACCTTCAATTAGAAGGTGTGGCATCGAGATTGACACTTGAAGAGGGTGTCACGAGTTCCAGTAGTTCCGGAGAAGAGACCACTGTGAGAGTTCCCAAGGTTCGTTTTGCATCAAAACTTGTACTTTAATAAGTTTTTGTAAGTCTTATTTTGTAATTTTAAAAAGATACCTGGTTTTATTTTTACACGTTCTACACATTCCACTTGTAAATGCTGCACTCAGAATCCTTATGTGATCGCCTTAGCGTGAGAATTCAGTTAAAGAAACACCGTGGGTTTCGACTGCATTGACACATATTGTCATCTCTTTTATACTCTTAGACAAAACAAAGATGACAATGTTTGTCATATTGTTATCCCTTTCTTACTCTTTGACAAAACAAAGACGTCAATATTTGTCAGAAGAATTGTCTCGGCAGTCGAAATACTCAGTATGAAATGACTTTTTATACTATAATAATTTGTTATGTTTATATTAAAAGGCTTTTAATTCCAATAGGCGCCTAGGAAGAAACGGGAATACAGCAAATTGGTGATGATATATGAAGAGAACGCACCCCTCCCACCCCCTGACTCACCCGCTGCGGCTTCTGTGTCATAAGATTGTGAATAAGTGAATAATAATCGAATAATTCCAGTCAAAAATTAATTGACGCACAAATGTGAAACAAATTTGACTTTCGTGTGATGCGAGTCGGGATTTGTCTTAGTATTAAGGTGAGTTTCCACTATGGTAACATCTGTATGACAACAATAATACCAATTATCATTGAAATAATGTTTTTGTATGCGTCTTACAACTGTTGAAAACCACATTATTTGTAAAAGACATCTGATCAAAATAATATATATATATATTCGTCTAGTAATTTTAAAGCCACTGTTTTTTTTTAACACATTCCATGTCACTACCAATTTTCCTTAGGAAAGTGAACTCGCCAGGCAAGTTGGTGGCACTGAACGTGTTAAAGTAATATTTGAAAATGTGCTAATGTACCCAGTCGATGATTTAAATCCAATATAGCATTTTTTTCGATATTAATAAGTTTTAAAAGTTGATTTTCTTAAATTTTAATTCTTTAGTTAAAAAAGGGCAATTTTTTACAAATAGTAATATATATTTTCTTTTATCTTAATTTTTTAATCTCTGCCTACACCGCTGCGTTACAAGCGTGATTTTATCTTATTTTAAAATTGATATTAATTTTAAGCTTTTATTATTTACTATTATAGAATTCTAATTAAGGTCTTATAAGTTTAATCTAGATTAAGATATACTTATAAATAATTTAAGCTATTTGTTGTTTAAATAAGATAAATATATACATATATGTTGTTTGGAAACGTATGTAATACTTAATTCAACTGTTATCGAAATAGTTTTTATAACCATAAAAAACTGGTTTGTATATTTTATAAAAAAGTTTTACACAAAAACAATATTTTATGAAAAATGTAATGTTCTATTTAAATATAATAATATAGTAAAAAGATCAAAAATAATCCTATATATTTTATACTGTCGTACATAGTATTGTGCAATATTATATAAATACATAAAATATTAGAGTTAATTAGATTTCGCTTCATACAATGTGCAATAATCATGATAAGTTTGAATCATATTATTCTTGATACGATTATTTTGCATTGAATATGAAAGATTAAAAAATATAATATAAAAACATTTATAAATATTCAATGTATTGGCAATTTTAATTTTCGTGTCTAATAATATTAATGACGTCATCGCGACAATCTCCTATATTCGAAAATAAAATATTTGGCTAGAAATTTAAATATAAGCTTCAAATACCGAAATATCTATATAAAAACATATTGTTGTCTCTGTTTCTCAAAGAGGATTAGAAAGAGATAGCAATACGCTTGTAGAGGTTTCGGAATGATTATTGTATTGGATACTGTAACATGTTTTTTGGCATTTGTAGTAATACAATTTGAATTCAATGGAAATGAGAAATGATATATATACATGTCACTGGATGTATTATTTTTATTATAGTTAGCTGTGCCCCGTGACTTCGTCCGTGCGAAATTTAGAAAAAAAGTTTTCTTATAGAATTTATTTCAGCGTGAACCATACATCCGTTCTCCAGATACTTTACGTCCATCTAAATAATCGCGTTTATAATATTAGTAAATTCAGTAAGAAGGATTTATTGTGGAAAATTTAGTTTTTAAATTGATGATACAAACATGTCTGTAAGTCTGTGATTAAAGCCTTTTAAAGGTGAAATTATTTAGATTTGTTTGTTATAATTTCTTATATCCATTGAGTTCGATTATAAGATCTTTGTTGCAAAAATGCTTAATGTACGATGTGTTACTGTTTATATAATTCTATTTAAATTTTTGTTTGTAAATAATAACTATATATGTTATGTTACGTAAATTAATATAATAAAAAATAATACTAAAATACAAATATTTTGTTGAAGTTGTTTTTTTACCTTTAATTCTTCTCAAATGAATGTTTCACCAATAATTCAAAAAAATCAAATTCAAAAAATAAAAATATGTCATCAGTAACTCACTATACGTCTCTGAGGATTAGAGCCTATCCTAGAGTTAAGGGTGACCAGGTCATAGTCAACCACGCCGACCAGTGCGAGTTGACTTCACAGATATCTTTGAAACTCTTCTCGGATTAGTCCATATTGCATCAAGATGTTTTCCGTCGCCGTAAGAACGGATAAATGTTCATATGTAAATCGAAAAACACATAGCGGAAATAGAACCCAGGATCTGAAGATTACAGGTAAAGTGCCACTAAGTCACCGACGCTCTGCTAAAAAAAGCGCAAAGATATTGTGGGCAAATATTCTATCATGAAATGTCTCCAAATCTTAAATGAACAAATATCACATATTTTTAAACATACCTATTAGTTACAGAGGCTGTATATTAAAAGAATAATTTTATAGGTATTCACGTTTTCCTAGTCGTAAATACAATTAAATTTATTGCTCATATTGTTTAAATTTATACAACAAAAAAAACAAGGGACTGTAGTGGTAAACAAGTCAGTTTTCTCGTCCCATACCAATCCTGTTTTCCACTTATGGATTGGTTTTATACACCATTCCACATTCTTTATAAAGTTCATGGTAACCTTTATGTCTGGAAGTGGTCTTCATTTTTACATTACTTGCTGCGTGTGTATACGACACCTTTACCATGTAAATGTTAATTTTGTTTTTTTTCCAAATAATGTGAGACGGGTGGTACTACGTACAACCGTATCTAACTAAGGCCCCTAACATCAGTAAGGCATCAGTGGGAACTTGTATCGAACTAAAATTCGCATTCAATCTACTCCTTATTGTAGCGGATTTAACATTTGGCTGTATACATATAGATTGAATTGTATTTTACCGCTACACACTCACACATCGACAGATGGCCATGTTTATGCATTGTAATTACATTCACTCACACAGGCGCAACACAACACTAACACAAACGTGACTCTACCTGCGCAAGAGTCGCATTCCGTCACCCACCTCCGCCATTGGCCGTCGAGCCTCTAAAGGCTTTGAGATACAGTGTCACATTTTTTTAAATTTAGAAAGTTGGTACAAGTGTTGGGCCGTGTTTTGTTACCACCATGTTTTAACATTAATGTAAGTATTAACATATTTTACTTTATTTAATTAATGTGTTAAGTACAGTTAAATGTTTTCTCTTATCACTGTTGAATCATTACTTTTACGTACGTAGATTTTCATCAGAAATGTAAATTACTAGCATATAAAGCAAGCATAAGAAATTATTACAGTTAAGAGCGTTATTTTTTTTTATTAATTACTTTACAACAATCTATGTTAAGCAAATGACGCGATGGGGTAATCACGTGAACTGAATATAATCTAGAAGGCGTGATCTTAGTTTTTCTCGATATGCTTTTCGCATGAGTAATTTTAAGTCACTGAGGAAAACGTTACAGTGCTCCAAAGGTTTTTTTATCAAGCCAATCTGATGTCATCGTAAGGTATTTACTAGCATATTGGATTAAAAAATAACGTACTATATAACGTACATGTTTATCGTATTCCTTACTATAACTTTCTAAACATGTATGTGTACGTATTAAATATAAAAATTTTCATGATAATTTAACAGCAACGTGAGAATTTTGCAGTAAGACGCAAATAAAAGAAAAAAAAACAGTTTCCTTCGAGGTCAGCGTGTTAACTCAATGATATGGAAAAAAAACTGGTTACTTACATTTACGTATTTAAAAAAAACATTTACTTTAAGGTATATTTGCGATTTAAGACTGAATTACAATGCTATCGCTTTTGTATAATTAGCGATTTTTGCAATTTGCGAATAGACATAGAGTCATTTTTAATCTATAATATCTTTTCATCATGAACATGGATATAAATCGTATGTTAAAAACAAAATTCATGCTCTGCACCTCGAATTATAATTCAAAATTCGTACTTAAATCTAGAAATTTACCAAAATCTGCTAAAAATGTTATTTACTTGTGTAATAAATAAGCGAACCCGTGGGTATATGTCGGACTGATAGGTTCCATTATTCCCTTTCTATACCCGTCTCATCTCTAAGGTCATTGGTCCCAGTTGGCCTTAAGTCTTACCACTCACACTAGCGTGACTCTGAGTCTTCCAGGCGCAAAAGCCTACTCCTAGCAGAATTACACTAGCCAGTTTATGTCTGATAATTAAAAAAGAAGTGCATACTTTTATAGAAACAAATATGAATTATGGTTGAGTTTGGCGACCACTAATCTTACTAAAATTATAAACGCGAATGAAAAATGGATGGATGTTTGTTAGAAGGTATCTCCGGAACAGCTCAACGGATTTTGATGAAATTTGGCACAAGTGTAGAACATAGTCTAGAAGAATACTAGCCTACTTATCAAGTTTTTTTAAATTGCGTGCGAACGGAGTCTCGGGCGACATCTAGTATGTTCTAAATAAGTCTGCCTTTGTCACATTTCCCCTAATATTTATTACATTTAAGGTTAAACAATTTAAACAATCCTTGGAAATGATTATTAATATTTTAAGTGCTTTAATTATTAGCATCATTTAGTGGTTCTACGGAATATCGCGGATAAGTGAGTCAGTCATTTGTCTTTAATTAATATTTTCACGATTACACAATGACGTATTTAAACTTTCAACTGAAGTAATTTAACATTTTTATGGTACTTAACAAGAACTATTAATTACACACTTAATAATATGAAGATGAACGTTTAGCTTTCTTGATGGCAGAAATTTGTGCTTCAATATGACCACTTGAATCGACACAAGATATTGTAGATAAAGTAGATTTTCATGCTGTCGAACTGGCAAATTAGAAAAGGCTGCAATATGCAAAATTAAATGGTAAACAAAGGTCTACATGTATACAAACTGATTAAATATAAAAAGAAAGTTGAATTGATACCTTGACACAGTCAGATAGATGTGAGGTTCACAAACTGATGGAATAGACGTACTACGTAAAACTACGCCGTTAATCATTTAATGTAATTTATACTATGACTATCAAGATTATATTTTCTGCTTGAGATTTATGAAAAGAACTTGCCGTCACCTGAGATTTCGTTCGCTTGGAATTGAACATAAACTTAATTAGTAGTCTATGTGTTATTTTAGACTATGTTCTACATATATGTATATGCAGCGACATCCATGCAGCTGTTCTGGAGATAGCTTTTAACAAAAATCTACCCATCCATCTAAATATTCGCATTTATATTAGTAAGAAGTAAGATTCACAGATTGCCGACTAACGCGATATCACAACATTTTCGTTGAGATGAGTTATGTGACGCATAAACTATCCTATAAAAGTTGTTTGCCTTTTGAAGATGTGCGATTTATAGTCATATCGTGATTACAGATCCTTGAACTTCGTAACAAAACAATGAATGTTTCTAAGATGTCTTCTAACCTATTTTAATGGATTAAAAACTATTTTTATGTTTGCAAATTTAAACCAGTAGTCTACCAAAAAGTCTACCCGAAAAAAATGTACAATAAAAAAAATTTTTAAGTAAAAAAAAATGTATAATAGAATTCAACTAAATTCAATAGTTGTATTAATAAAGTTATTTAAGTTTAGTTTAGTTAAAGTAATTATGCTATTAATTTTGTTAAAGACAATAAAAGAAAATGGGCTAACGAGTAATTTATCTTAGGTATTACATTTATGGTTTCATAATTCATGTATCAAAAATATGTAAAAAATAACCATGTCAGTTTATCGTTCATCTATTGACGTACATAAATAAGTAAGGGTTCTGATATCGCCGGTTTATTCTTTTCTCATATTCACATATGACAATTCTGGCGCCCGATTCAAATAACGAAGTCATTTACTAATTACTTGGTGTATTAATACAACACCTGCTCACAGAAGCTAATGACCGCTTTAAGGGTAAATAAGATAAGCCTTTTGTATGGCTCTGGAGTCGTTGTACATCATTGTCTTAGGTCAAACAGAGCCATGTGTATGTTTTTGTAGTACGTACTTTGGTTGTGCAAACCCACAGTGAGAAAGGTTACATTTAGAATCTTAATGACTAGGATATACGTCATTAAATAAATAACCTAACGTTTATATAAATCTTATATATAACATTCTCATGTCATAACGTTACTAAATTCCTCCGAACCGATTTGCCCGATTTTTATGAAATTTTATACGCATATCCTAGTAGGTCTGAGAATCGGCTACTACCTATATTTTAATCTCGCGCGGATGACGTAGGCAATATCTAGTAATCTAAATATTATGTTTTCATTGTATCATTAAACACGTTTCCGACATTCTTGAAATGCAATAAAAAAATTCCTTTACATTTGACATAAAATAATCTGAGTAGGTAAAATATTGATTGTAAATTGTCCTCGATTATTTTGATGGGTTATATATATTGTTTTTATAAGTATTACGCTAGGGTCATAGTAAACACATTTATGAAATACCATTCGAAAAAGAGCTCCAGGGTTGAAAATAAAATTCAATGAAAACAAACATTTCCGTGTCTCAAATGGAATGTTTTTTTTTCTCTTCCTGTAGTTACCTACTTACGGAAAAATCTCGTCTTATTTAAAAAAAATTGTTATTATAAACAACATGACCAACGTCGCCGATGTTATTATAAACATCCTTTGTGAGTCTCCTTTTATTAAAGATTCGTAACAAAATTGAATATGTCTGCAGGTGAACAGTAAATAGTGTTTGAGGATGCTCCGTGCAATATCCGGGAGAGGCCAGTGTTTGCCAATCATATCCGGCTGCGTCTACACTCAACACAACATAATATATTTAAAATTTTACTCTAGCTTATGTATAGAATGTCGTTTAATATAATACATTCTAATTTCGAATAATAATTTGAAACAGCCTATTTCAAACCAATACCAGTAGCAAATATTTGATGAAAGCATTACGTATTTCGGCGAATACATAAACCAAATGGTGCTGTTACTCTATTGATGCGTTCCCAGAGTTCACTTAATATCCATGCATTTCACTAATCCGGCCTACAGCCTAGTAGTAGTCCTACCATATGTTCTCGAACTCGATGATAACAAGAACGAATATCGTATATTAATGAACGTAGGACTACAATTAGTAGCGAAAAGATGGTAGTCTACCATCGTATATTTTTCTAGTACATGCCTATTTTGTGTCTCGCGAATTAAATTACCCTTATGGTCTAAGTAAATTTATTCGAGTATCAAATAATTCGCCCCTTACTATTTGTTCAAAAAAAATCAAAATGTAAGATGTATCAAAATAAAACGATTGTTGTAAAATGTCCTTTTAAAACAAACAAACCAATAAGGTTTTTAACGAGTCTTACGATACCATACATTCACAGTTATACAGTAAACAAGTGATTCTCGAAGTATCTAACGTAATATTTAATACTTTTTTAAGAGAAAAAGTTAAGTGAGAACAGAGCGAGTAAAACCGTGGTAGGAGCTCCACCAATTTCAATCATCATTACAAAATTTCATCTACAAATTCTCAAAACAATTATCCAATATTCATGATTTCCTTGATAATTAATCCACTTTATCTGGATGTATTTTTAATCATTATGTAGCCTATATTAGACCAACATTACATTTTTAAATGACGTCTCATACTTTTCTACACTTTTACAATATAGTTCATACATTATGCTTTGTTCATCGTTTATTCAAGTTTAATCTACATTTTTTTTTTCAATATGGAAGATATTTTTAATATTTATTTACATCCTTATTTCTATGAATACATAAACTCTTAAACCTATGATATAAAATAAAATTAAAAAAAAAACCGAATAATTAACTAAAATATGTTAATAAAAGGAGTCCCTTTAGGCAAGGTCCCGAAGATACTGGCAGCGTTCCCCCTCTGTACAGCTAAACTAACTATCTACATTTATATGTCACATCACCGTATCATCATCATCTATATATGAACCTTTTCAAGAATTCCATACGTTTATACACTAATCCAATAATGTTGCATAACAAATGGACATCTTTGTTTCTACTTCTGCTCTTCCATATTTTGATAGTTAAAAAATATTTTTAAATTGTTCTTTTGCTTCAATGCCAAACTGGAAGTCGGA